GGCTCGGGCTCACCGGAGCCGGCTCGGGCTCAATGGGGCCGGCTCGAGCTCGCCGGGGCCGGCTTGGGCTCGCCGGGGCCGGCTTGGGCTCACCAGGGCCGCCCCAGGCTCGCTGGGCATGGTTCGGGCTCGGGCTTGGGCTTGGGCTCGCGCGGGTGCCACTGAACTCGCACGGGGCCCGTCGAGCTCGCACGGAGCCGGGCTCACACAAGGCCGGGCTCGCACGCAGCTGAGCTTGCACGGGGCCGGGCTTCCACGAAGCCCGTTTGGCTCCCGCGGTGCCCACTCGGCTCGCACGGGGCCAGCTGGACTCGCATGGAGCCACGCTCGCACGGGGCCCACTTGGCTCGCAGGGGGCCCGCTGAGCTCGCACGGGGCTGGGCTCGAAGGAACGGGGCTGGGCTCACACGGGGCCGGCTGGGCTCGCACGGAGCTGGCGGGGCCGGGTTCGCTCGGGTCCGGGCTCGCGCGGGGCTGGGCTCACACGGGGCCAGCTCAAGCTCACACGGAGCCGGCGACTCCGGCTGGGCTCACACGGGGCGGGGCACGTTATGGCCCAGGCTCGCACAGGGCCGAGCTCGCACGGAGCTGGGCTCGCACGGGGCCGGGCCCGCAAGGGGCCGCGCTCGCGAGGCCGGGCTCGGGCTCGGGTTCGCGAGGCTGAGTTGTCCTAAGCATGCAAGACGGGGCCGAATCAATCGGGCTCGCGGCTGAAGCAGCAGCGGCGAGCTCTCTCGGGTTCGTGGCCTGGCTTGCTACTCTGGCGGGCTGAGCCAGGTATGGGCTCGCTTTACTGTTCACGCGTAATTAAAGGCTTTCACACCTTAAAAAAATGCAACAGCGACGAAGAACAGCGCTCACTCTTATTCTCGTCCACGTTCGACGTTGCAACTCTTTGAACCTTTCCAGCTGCTTGAGTGTTTTCCTTCTCTCTTTCTCGTTTTCAAAATAGTCAAGGAAGCAAAAGAAATCGCGTTGCAGTAAGGAGGAACTTCCTAGCCCACTACATTTGCCACGTGGGGCCCAGAGGAGCAACTTCCCCAGTTACTCACAGCGTCAAAGCATAGACAAAGGAGGCAAAGCATTCTCTTACCCCCCCCCCCATACGCTTCCCCCTGTTGTATGCTTGCTCTCACTAATCTTCCCCATGTATGCTTCATCTTCCCCATGCATGCTTGCTCTCACTGACAATAACAACAAGCCTAATTAGGAATCTTAGATCTGATGAACAGCGAAAGTAATTGTAGAGATCCAGTACAGTTTGCCACGAAAATGTTACAACGTTGATGTCATATCTCCACTGAGCTGTGGTCTGCCTTCTTGCAAAGTATGTCCATGATGAAATCACTTACCTTTCCCCATCCTTCATATTCAACATTTGTCATGATGGCCTGAGCTGAACCTGAATAGTTTAAAGATTGCGCTTGTTATCCCATAACCTTCGAAGAATGTACAAAGAACTTAGTAGCAGACTGTCAACATGTCAATATTACTAACGAAAATGATGCCGCCTTACTGGAGAACAAGTAGGTTTCCCTTCATGTAAATATTTTCTTGTCGTGGCGTTATGTTGAACGGCCTCAGGTGGGAGGAAAGGTAATCTAAATCACAAGAAGAAGTCTCTCTTTCACAGACTTGCTTGTCCTTATTGTGTTTGCTTATAGATACCTCTTCTCCGTATCTGAGAAGACTCAATCATAACTTCTGCTGATCTGGTGCTTCATGCGCAGGGCTAAGGCGGGAACCCCTCTAAATCTAAATCTAAAGCTAAATCCGTATGGACTTTAGTTTTAGCAGAGACACACAAGAACAATAGAACTAAAAACTTAGAAGAGGTGCTGCATCAACCAGGTAGAAGTTTGTAGGTGTATTGGCTCTTCAGCAGCCAACAATGTCCGCGAGAATACTCAGCGGGCCCTAACCTAACCTAACCTAGAGGTCCCACCTGGTGCCTTGAGCGAGCCTTGGGGTGATGATTTCTGACGTCAACTAGTTGTACCCAAGAATGAAGATTACTGACAGCAACCATGACTATCTTCTTAGGAAATCAACATGAAAGGGATTCCGCTTGATGCATTTTCTTGTTAATAAATAGCTCTTCCTCTTCGCAAAGTATATACTGCGCAGCTATCCTGTTTATTTTCCTTTGGTTTTCAGTCACTGCGCCACGAAGTGTCTTAAGACTCGCGTCGCGTTAGGTCTTACGATTGGAGTGCTTGCGGGATGTGTGGCGTTTGATCCCCCACATCTGGGTCTGCCGTAGTGCATAAATTTGGGCCCGGCGCATTCTCCTCGTCCGCCGCCTGATCTCCTGCCCATTGATATAGTTCCTTGATTGCAATAGTCAGAGACAAAACTGCAGGAATTATGAGCCACTTACAAACGAAACTTCATCCCAGGGAGAGGGAGACGACCGACCAAAGCCGTGAGTGCTAAGGTTGGCGAAAAGCCCAAGGCCGTTGCGCTTGTTCATAAGACGAAGACGGGTTCGCTTATTTATTATTTTGGAAATCATGATCCAGATCCTACGCGTTGAGTGAATGCGAATGATGGCACTAGATGACATCAACAAGAGCAAACTTGTTGGATCGAAATATTTTCTTTCCCTTGTCGTCGTGCACCTGCACCACTAAATATATGCAAGAATAAAGGACGAGAGAGTGAAGGTGAACGCATGGAAAAAGATCCATCAAGAGAGGTTCTGTCTGGTTTTGCGCAAGGGCATCAGATTTTTCAGTAGATGATGAACAGAGGACGAGATCATGGCGCTACCAACAGTGGTCCTTCGGTGTCCCTGTCCGTCCTCAGCCTGTTCTATGGTTTGGCTGCGCCTCCAAAAACTACGGGAAACGAGGGCTTTTCTTCTGAGTCGACACTATGAGACGACCAATGGCGGAGATGCAAACACGACAGCTTCCTCTTCTTCTAGTCGACCCTATGAGCATGAGACGAGCGGCCCGAAAATAAATAGAAGTAGGGATTACACGAGAGACATCGTAGGAGGACGTGGCTCTCCTTCTTCCTCTAGAGCAGTAAGAAGTCACGATGTTCTTGCGCGGAGTACTTCTAGGAGTAGTTCACTTGATGCTTCTGCTGAGGACGGGGACAACATACATCATCCTGAGTTGAGCCTTATGCTGAAACAAAAAGCAGAAGCAGCATCCTCTGGCTCGGGGAACAACAGCGGGAATCATATGCTGTTGAAAGGACCAAACTGGCATAATATGCTGACATCAAGAACGAGACTTGGAGGACTGCTGGGAACCTTAGGTTCAACAGGAGACTCGAGCAGTGAGAATATTCATCTTCGAGTCCCTACTTCTAATAATTATCGTGCTTCTCAAGGTCAAGATCAAGAAGAAGCTGGTCGTGTACAAGACTCTGGTCGTGTTGTACCACATGACAAACAGAAGCATCAGACGAGTGAAATGACACGAATAGGAATAGAAGAAGAATTAGATGACACGAGTTCTACGGAAAACCAAAGAGAGCAACTCGCGTATCGGATCACGGTTGAAGTATGTGGAGAAAAAGTTGACATGATATCTTCTGGTCGCGGATTTGAAAATGGTAGTAGTTCTTCGGAAGATTTTATCTGTCTGCGAACATCCGAGATGCTTGACATGGCTGAAGAAGCAGCCCAAAAATGGAAACCGGTCATAGAAAAACTCTAACTCAAGGCGCGTGCTTATAAAAATAAATGAACAACAAGTTGTTGCGATGTCATGTGTTACTACAACTCCTGTTCTTGGTGGAGCAGCGAACTCAGGTGCTGCATCACGGCGCGATGCTGTTGTCAATCCGAATGACGCGCGAAGATATTCGTGAGAGGAGACTGTGCGACGAGATGAAGTTGTACAATTCGACGTCACCATCATGGTCTCTCATCTTGGTCGTGCATTCACAACCAGTAAGTTGAACGTCATGATAGCTTCGGTTTGCCTGCTGAAGAAGCCACCTACATCTTAGAACTCAGATGCTCAAGCATGGCAAGAAGAAGCGCTGGAGAAGACCAAGATACCGCAAAATCTATAATTTTCCCAAGACGGCTACAGCTATCGCCAGTCACCGCCGAGTGCCAATAATCATCAGGATGAAGATGGGGGTGTGAGTCTGCAATACCGCAAGGACAGCCATGATACCTGGCGTGCAGACCAGCCGATCAGAATCACAGCAGCTCAACAGACGTGTACTAGCTACTGCGTACATGACTAACGCGTTGTACACGATTACCATGTAGTACACGACTACTCCGCACACGACTACTCCGTACACGACTGCAGCTCCATCTACGCACGCAACAAGGGAAACCAACAATGTGTGCAAGAGACAACAGACTTTTGGCGGCTATGATGTGGTGTGCCAGTGTATACCAACGGTCACAACTTCTCGTCTCTTTGATTGATCCAGACATACTCCAGAGCATCCATTTCGATACATCTCAGAGTATCTTTTATGTCGCATGGTCTGTGCGACTGAAGATCACTGGGATTGCCCTCTTTACATTAAAAGATGTAACAACTACTTCCACCGGAAGTGCCATGAAGTCTAGCTAGCGTAGGACGGGATAAGTCTGGGATTATGTTGTAACTGATTTTTTTGGAGTATGCATTTATTTCATAATTTTTTGCATACGGAAAAAAATATAGACAAAAATTGATGTTTATCGGATTCCTAGTTGTATGGTTCTGGTATTTGGTAACCTGAATTTGATCCTAAGGGTTCTCTTCTTGTTTTCCGTTAGGATCAAATTCAGGTTACCAAATACCAGAACCATTCACTAGTAGGAATGCATAGAAGAAGGTAGGTTTGATTTTATTTTTGGGTCAATCTTTGCTTCACGAGCTACTTCTAGCTTTGTGCCTGAGTGACGGAGTAATGTACTACCCAGTTTCTTCTCACGTGATCTTGGCTTCCTCTACAACTAGATCCTCAACCTCTTTCACACCTGTGTACTATGGTCTCACCCCACGAGAATCATCGTTGAGAATATTCGAAAAGTATCGTTGTTGCCCATTAGTGTGTTTTTGGCAAAAGCATGCTGATGCTTCGGTCTCAATGTCTCGATTTCTTTCATTGTCTGGATTTTCTTGTGTTTTTGTTCGCCTAGGGCTCTGTTGAATTTCCCTCTCGTCGTGGACTACAGAGGACGCAAGAATTCGAATTTGTGCAGAGCATGCACGACTCTGACAAGCATCAAAAGAAATGAATGGACACTCTGACCACTCCTTGTTTGCTCGTCAGAAAAACCTATGCATTGAGGCCACGGCTGTTGACGTCGTGCAGGCCATTCGGGGTGCGCCTCGTATGGTTCTTGTATGCGACAAGCAGGAAAGACCGATTAATAATGAATAATTTATAAGAGTGTTCATCTTCACAAGTGCCGCGATTCGAATGCGCGACGTCGCTTTGGAATTTTTCGTACTCCTCTCGATGCCTCGGTGAAAATGATTACAAAGCGCTTCGGCTTCATGAATAGTAGGAAACATCGATAATGAAAATAAAGCTTTCTTGTGTTTGTGAGAGACGAGAGGTGGAAACAACGACGACGAGAAAAAGCCAGACACTCCTTCTCAACTCCAAAGCGGACGACACTGCCGCACCCTGTAATCTTTCCTTGTTATTTTCAGCAGTCGTGGCCTATCGAACAAGGGATCGACGTATCATCGTCGTCACCATCATCGTCGCAATTTGACAAGTAAGACATCATCAGCAAAGTCTATACAGTAGCTATAAGTTTCATGGACGAGAAGTAGAAGAAACATTCTTAAAGAGCAAACAGCACAATCCCAATACATGGGAAGTTCCATTTTCAAAAAGGCGCTCTCCCCGGACAGAACTGAATGCATTTCAACGAAATAGCGTGTATCAGTATCTTGAGACTAGTTTCCTCTCCCATTCGCGGGTTGAGCTATTAATTTAGAAATCATGACGAACGAGGACTCCTTCCTTAAACAAGTGTTCGACGGGCTTCATACGTACACTACGAGGAACGCAATCGTTGTCGTTACGAACAAGAAACCAGTGCGATTCTAGAAGGTCCGCAAATTATGCGGAAAAAACTATGCTAGAAATTATGCAGAGCCAGAAAGTGCTCGTGCTGCTTTTTATTTATTTTTTTTTCGACCTATCAAGAAGATCTGTCTTCGGCGACTTGTTCTGGTTTTACACTCGCGGATCCGGTTGCGGTGACTCCGGGCCCTTCGAATACGCACCCGGCTGCGCCGACTAAGGACTTTACTTATCTGATTTAAGCTTGTGAGCCTTGTCTTCTTGTAACCGCGAGTGATGCTCTTTACTGTTGCCGACGTGTTCTTCCTGATGTCGTTTGGGTGTGGTATCGACTGTTGGCGTCGTTCTCTGTCTACAGCTTATTCCAGTTCTGTCTGTTGAGTGAGTCGGTCTTTCATCGGGTTGAGGCTATTCGTAGGCGGCCTGCCAAGCCGTGATGCACTCCTTGAGGATTTACAGGCTGGCCCCTGTTCTCCTCACTGGGCTGCAGATGGTGCTTATGGCCCGGGACCCTGACCACATCCCTCACTTCATCGGCCCCAGCTAAAACCGAACAGGTCGCAACATAAAAGAACTATCTCCCCCCCCCTCCATTTCCACCCTCGGCCCCCTTTATAATCATTAAACCCGTGCAGGGGTTAGCATCCTCAGCGGCCTTCAGTCTAGTCTTTTCACCATTATCAGACGTGGCGACGGTTGTGGCGAGTTGGGTACATTTCGCGTTCAATGGATGCGGATCTGGTTGCGACGGTGTCGGGCTTCATTTTGTGGGCGTGGGTCCGCTTGTGACAAGTCTGACCTGCAGACACACCCACGCGCTGGGAGCGCTTTTCTTGTGCTTTGCGAGTGCTTTGCCTTATGCAACAGGTTACGTATACCGATAGTATGGGCCGAAGCGATGAGTCTCAAACAGCACGGGGCACACTTCCAACAATCTAAGAAAACAAAGAGGCAAGACGCTTTTTGTCAGCGGAAACGAATTGCCGGCGGCTGGCAGGCTGTGCCGGCTCGCCTCGGTCTGTCGGGTGACGCGCGCCCGCGTGTCTTGTTCGGCAGTTGGTTCCCCCTCCGTGACTGAAGAGCGCAGGCGATAGCCGGTAGGAAGCTTGGCGTGCGGCCATTCATTCTCTCGGGGGCGGCAGGTTGCTCCTTTTTTGTCCACGTAGAGCGTCGCGCTGAACTAGCAGGAGATGCGTGGCGGCCAAATAAGTGCCGCGCCTCTTTGATAATGTGGCGGCAGGTAGCAGCGTGGTGGTGTCTATTTATAACTATAAACGTGGCGTGCGCTTCGTGACTTTACTAGCAAGCCTCATCGGTTTAGCACGCTGCCAGCTTCTCCACTGAAGCGGCGCCGGGTTGGGATCTTCTACCCTCGTCAGTCATTGGTGGCGCAGGTAGCGCAGAGGCTACAGCTTCGCGAGCGCGTCGCGGAGCGTCGGTGGCTGTTGGTTTTGGCTGGGGTGAGACGCTAAAAACCCAAGCGGCGCGGTGGAAGCGAATTCAGTGCGGCTGGCATGTGCTGAGAGAGTGGCGCGCTAGTAGTAGCGCTTGCTTTGGGGCCCTTGCTCGTTTTCTTTTGTGTGGGTTTTCCATATCTGCCGCCCGTCTTGGTCTTTCTGGTTGGCGTGCTCTGGGAGCAGCAGCTCTGCCAGCAACCTTGGGCTTGGTCTTTTGCTTCTCTCTTGAGTTAGGGCAGTACGCTCACACGGCTCCGAAGCTTCTTATTCAATAAGCGACAAAGACCGACGGGCGCGGGGTGATGATAGTGCGAACCCGCATGATGAAGACATGGAAATGGATCGCCGAGAACAAACTCGCAACAGCTTGCAACGGAACCGCATAAGGCTCCGCGCTTGTTGTCTGTGGTTTTTGTGGTTTCTCTGTTCTTCTCTCCAGGCTTGGGAGGCCTCTGGCGTTGTGCATTCGTTTGAGAATTTGGCGCGAGGCTGCGCCGCGGACTGGTTCGCCGGCTTGTGATGCTCTCGGCGCAGTGGTTGGCCTGTCCGTGTGTGGGTTGTGTCGGTTTCGTTTTCGGAGCTCCTTTTGGCTTCGTTTTAATGAGACAAGGACAAGGGCCGCGCGCGTGAGCCTCGGCAACTTTTCGCCAAGATTTTCCGCCGCCGGTGATTGTCGGGCGCGGTGGTCTCCAAAAAGGGGGAAGCCAATGCTTTTAATTCTATAAGTCGGCACGCAGAGCGAGGCTGGTGGCCTAATAAATGTGGCGCACCTAATACACAGCTGGCGCCAGTCTTGACAAAGGTAGTAGGGCGCTTTTTACTTCTGGGCGGGGCGTGCTTCAAGGTCCAAGATGTAGCTTAAACGTACGGGAAGGCGTTGGACTTTGTCGAGGAAGGGCGTCAAGGTTTTTCGTATTAGTGCACTGATTACGTTACTCTCTCAGCTAATGCCACCCAGTATAGCTCTTCACGTCCTTCTTGTTCATTCTGCAGCCTTCAACTGAGTGGGGAACGCTGCTCCTTTGTTCATGCTTTTCGCTTGCTTTTCTCACTTCTCAACAGAATCGGAACACGCTCAAACAGACGGCGCAACTGATAACAACCTTGGCAGAAAGATAGGACCCTAGTCACTTCTTGGCGGGGCGTGCTTTAGGGTCCAGAATGTAGCTCGTTCAACGTATGGGAAGGCGTTAGACCTTGCCGAGAAAGAGGGCGAAGGCCTCATCCGGATGGCACCAAGCCAGAAAAAGGGATACACTTCGGCTACTTTTTGGCTATGAGCGAGGACGCGGCAGGTGGTGCGGGGAGTGTTGAGAGAGGAACAGGAGTGAGGGTTTTGAGTGTCGGGCGTCGGTGGGTCTGCGACTGCATGGGAGAGAGGTGCCTGAGCGTTCAACGGCAGGAGGGATTTTCGGTGGCGTGTTGTTGGGAGTGAATTTCTGCAAAGTGGCAAAACAAAAAGCAGAAAGCCAGTGGCAAGTTGGGAGCTATTCTCAAAAAATCCCTACTTCGGGACAAGTTTCGTCGTGTCTTTTTTATCTATCTTGGATAGGCTTAGTTACTCTATAGTATCTATTTCTATATTTTGTGGGGCGGCGTTTCTCTTAGGCTATCAATTAAACTGGGAGGAAAATGAATACTGGGCGAGACCATGACGGGTGTGGCCTTTGGCGGAGCTGGCGCTCCGCTGGTCGATTTTTGTGGAGCTGCCATGCCAGCAGCCGGCATGCGCGAGATGATGGCGCTGCCTCGCATTCCTTTACGGGCCAGTGGTGCGTATCTGGGTTATCTTCTGAAGTTTGCTCGTTATGTGGAGACCGGTGTTTGGGCGAAGGGGAGCATTGGAGCAGGAGCAGAGAAAAGCACTGGGGACGCACTTGAACGCATGAGGCACCACTTTGCTGCTTTGCTTTTGGCGTTTCTGAAGCGTGCGGAGAAGAGGCTCTTGGGGGTGGGGGAAAGCTCGCAGCAGTCGCTTATCAACGTGTTGAATTCGACTCGACGCAGATGCATACGCTTGACCTCTGGCACAAGCGTTCAGTGCCGCACGAGACGCTGCTGATGTTGAGGTGTCTCGGCAAGTATGTACTCCGAGGATGATGGCCGGTGGCAACGTCTTTGGGCATATCAGTTGTCGGCGCAGATGGTCGAGGGACACAACTCTGAGCAAGTGGCAAGGGAAGTAGTGAACCACTGTGAGCCATTGCGTGAGGCTTTGAAAAACGCTGGCCGCGACATCACTAACGTCGTCACTCTGACCCACTACGCAGGAGACGGCGCCAGCCTGAAAATCATCAGGCAGATTCTACCTGCCATGCATGAGGATGGGCGACACAGTCCCCACGAGGGCGATCCTGCGGTAGCGATGTTTGGCCTCTACGTGATAAGCAGACGCACGCCGCATGCTTATCATAGCACATTTCGTAAGAGGGATGTTGGATTGGATGGATTGCATGGCACTGCATGCATTGCATGAGCCGAGGGGGTCAGAGTGCGACCTTCTTAAGGGAGCGACACGGGAACGAAGACCCAGGGCGCGGCATAGGAGTACTTGGCTCCGTTGTGGGAGTACTTGAATAGTGCCGGCACGTACTAGCTTGCTACTGTAAGTAGCTCGACTAGGCTAGCTTGCCGGTGATCTCGACCGTCTTGCTCACTGTTCCCTGGCGCACACAGGCCACGGCGTTTGCGCTGCTCCTTGCTTGTTTCTGGGGCGAGGTCACAGCGGGGCCGTGTTTGTGTTCGTGTGTCGTAGCGTAATTCTTCGGCGGGGAAGCCCGGTATTGCGGAGAAAGTATGGCGCCCGAAGGGCGCCGCGAAAAATATATTGCTTTTTGGGTGGTCCATCCATGCAATGCATGCCATCCATGCCATGCAATCCAGAAGTTCGGAAGTTGCCCTATGTTCTATTATCATTTGGCGACTCAGTCGGGCTTGAAGATCATCGCGCCAGGTGGGGAGGAGGATGAGAAGGGGATGGTGGTTATTAGTAGGGCTTTAAATGATAGCTCCACAATAGTGCGGGACATGCTTACTCGCTGGGTGCCGCATGTCTATCACAAGCAGCCGCTTCCTGAGTCAGAAGTAGTAGAGTGCGAGCATCTCGCCGACTTTTGCGCGCAAGGCTGGCGGCCAGATTTGATCAGCCAGGTCAAGAAGCTGCAGCTGCGACACCAGAGCGGCACTCTTTTTGGCACTGGGACGGAGAGAGAAGTGCGGCACTGTTTGCAGAGCCTCTTTGTGCCTGGAGAAGTCCAGCTTGGGCGCTTTGGTGAAGCTGTCACAGCTGTTGGCAGGTATTGCTTGTTTGACATCGTCGGCCTGTTCCCCGTCCTCACAGAGTACGCCTATCAGCAGGGAGCGAAGAAGTATTACCTTAGGAGTGTCCTGGAGAGCAAGCGCCTTACACCAGCGGAATTTGTAAGCTCGATGTGGCAGATTTTATTAGGAGTAGGCGCTATAAATCTCATCGGGCGGAAAATATTGGAGGGCCCATCAAATCAATAGTAGCGCTGGGCGCCACTAGGGACGCCAGAGAAGCACAACCAGAGCAGATGTGGCGTTGCCAGATGGGTGCAGTTGCTTTTCGTTATGCCGGTGGGTGTGATGCTGAAGATGTTGAGGTCGGGCGGCAGGTTTTGGATACAACCACTGCGACCCTGCAGCTGGCGCGTTTTAATAGACTAGAAATCATGCCGTGGCGAGGAGTACTAGCGTGCACTAGTATAGACTGCAGTAGAAGCATACCAGAAGAGCAGCACGATTTTGCTTCTACGAAGAAAGTGCTAGCAGTTCGCCGCTGTTCGCCGCAGGCCATCAGGAGAAGCAAAACAGTACTAGCGGGGCATCTAGTCAGACTTCGAAAAATCGCAACAGCGATTGTGTACGCGGAGCGCCTTCACAAATTAGGGCGCGACGTCTGATCTCCCGCAAGCGTCAACTCTTCCACTGGCGTGTTCATTCATTTGTGGAGTGGCGCTGAAATTACATGCGCAGATGAATTGTCTAACGAGACGGAGGAGATCAGACGGTCGTAGTATTTTGGACACGGATGCGGCTGGAGATCTTGGGCTTGGGGTGAATATTGAAGAGGAGACGAAGCGCGTCGAGCTTCGGCGCAAGCAGGTGCGAGCAAATACCATGCTCATCAAACAAAAATCCACGAAGGGCATGCGCCCCCTTGTGCAGGGTGAGAACGTCAAAAAATGGCTGCGGACAGACTACAGCACAACTACTTGGATTCTGATGAGACAGAGGCGCTGCAGAAGAAGATAGAACCACAGCAGGAGCTACTTCGTCAGAAGGCGAGGAGAAGGCTGAAGATGTTGGCGCAGAAACAAGCAGTGGAAAAAGATGAAAAACAACAACGCCAGACGACATTCATGACGTGCAACAGTTTTGGCGTGGATTCTTGGCTGAAAGGCGACGAAGTTGCAGGCCATTTTCGTGGCCTCTCTCGAACGTATGGCGGGATGCTTGGTATGCAGGATGGGACTTTTCAGGGTGTGGGAAAGTTAAGTATCGCGCAGTACCAGCAGCACTCCACCGCCAGGAAATCAATGAGCTTCCTCTCCCGCAGGAGGTGGGCGGATCCATCTGCGAATTGATTAGGCGGGCGGCTGCAGATGGACGCGAAACCCTAATAGGAGGAGTAGTACTAAACGTCGCCGCCATCGCAGCAGATTTGTCTTCTTCTCTTCTAGTCTACAAAGTTGAAGGGATAACTTTTCGGCCTTGTCGTCTTTTCGTAACGCGTCTGGCGGTTGCTGATTATGGTTTGGAGGGAGATGGGCGTGCGGTTTTAACCAAGACGCTGAACTGCAGAGACCTCTCAACCTTGCCAGTGGGGCAGACGTGGCTCATAGCGCCTGAGCATATAACAAGCGCCGGCTTCATAATTCTTGTCGATCAGCCTCTTCGCCCTGTGCATCTAGTGGGGCCAAGTAGTTTGGCTGAGCGGATCGCCGAACCGCGAGCCAGAGTTGTCAAGAAGGAGCGTCCGTACCAAGAGAGAGAGCCTCGGCAGGAGGTTCGGCCGCAACAGGCGCAGCGTCCTGCACCAGCTAGAGTTCTTCCCAACGTCGCGCCCGATTTGGGGCCAGCACCTGCTGCAGATGTCGCTGCGCAGCAACGTAACCAACTAGATGGCTTAATCCGGCAGCATGTTGACGTCTATACTATTGCCCTGCGCCGTTCAGTTTCTCTCCTCTAACGATCGCAACTCGTGGCGGAAACTGGACAGCCCATAGTCACGGCGTTGCGGTCGACTACGTACGTCGGAGCGCGCCGGAATCAAGTGGCGCGATGAGATTGAGAGTATTGGGACTTCTCAACCCAGCACAGTCGTCCAGAGATTTTTCCCTTGCAGTCTATGGCGGTCCGCAGCTGACAGCCCGCGCAGCGTGTTTTGTGGCGAGGGTGTGCAAGTTTTTTCTATCGTGTGGCGCCACATTGGAGCCGTCTCAGCTTGGAGAGGTCGATGCTTATTCTTCAGCGCGCCGCGCTGAGTGGGATGCTGATTATGAGGAGGATTGGAGTGCTGTAGTCAACCAGCTGAAGTCTGATGGTCGTTATTTTGAAGATAGAAGAAGGGCCGCGCTCTTTTCAAAAATCAAGGAAATCAGTGGCGAGAAGTATTTGCGTAGCGTTGTCCTGTCTGATTATTATTAAACGGGACTGAAATTATGGGAAGGAAGTTGCGTTTTTTAAGTCGTTTGGTTTGGTGATAGCCCTGCGGAGTACTCGGCGTGTCGTGGGATGGTTCTGCTTCGCTGTGGGATGGCTGTTCTGTGTTCTACTTCTGGCTGGATCGTGATCTTCTGATGTCATCTCGCTTCTATGATCGTGCGCACCTGCCTGCGGCTCGTGTGGGTCTTCTCTTCTTGTTGGTAGTGTGCCGGCTTTAGTTGTACAAGTTCGGTCCTTGCTCGTGTCTTCCTTGCGTGTGTCGTCGCTACGTCACTTGATCTTATTCATCTTCTTGCTTGGCCTGCTCTGGTTTCTTGCATTTTTATCGTTTCGCCTGTGTGCTCCGCAGGGTCTATGCACGCTAGACGGATCTTCGATCCTAATGGAATAACTTCCAACTACGCTCTTATCTACGACTGCACTTCTCTAATCTCACGAGTACTACTTTCATCATGTCGGACACCCCGCCCGCCGCTCCTGTGGCGACCTTGCTCGGAGTAGAAGAGCTTCCTGCTTTGCCCGCTGTTGAAGAGCCTGCTGCTCCGATGGAAGTGGCTAGTTAGTATGGCGGGCGACCTGTTGCAGCAGGATGGACCTGAAAACACATCCAGCACTGCAAACCTGAAGGCGAAGGTGAAGCCAATGAGGAAAGTGCCGAAGCAGAAAGCTGCTGCTAAGGCCGTCGCTAGTAGTTCTTCTTCGTCTGCTGCTCCTGTTGCTGCTGGTGTTGATGATGGGAACGAGACTGAAGATGTTTCGCCGGCTAAAAAACGCGCTCGCAGTCAGACGGCGGCTCAGATGGTATATGTTAGAGCATATGTTTTGCCTTTTTTTGAAGAGCTAAGATTTAGAAAGCTGGTATACGTTGGGGTATATGTAAGGGTATACGTTTTTGCTAATGGAGTTGCTCTGGGCCTAGTTTCTACTTGGGTTTAGGATATGCCCCTACGTATGCCTATACATATACCCACACACACGCCGCAACATATGCCCCAACATATACCACCGAAATAGTTAACATATACCAAAACGCGTCCACTTTTGTCGTTTCTGATAACCTCCGAGGTTAGACAGTGGCCAAGGATGAAACGCCACAGGCTAGCAATCAACATCAGAGACATCTGGGACGATTTCAACGCAAGACACCCGCTAGCTACTGAGGCCACGAGTGTCGTGCTATCGACGTTCTTTGCTATTAGTTCTGCTAGTTCAGTCTTGGCCTCCTTATACTACAAATTCAACGTCCGTCCCTCCATCATCTTGCTCCTGCTTGCTTTTCGTCATTTTTGCTCAACCTTTCACGGCGTCACGTCGTTTCTTCGCAAGGCGGTGAGCTGCTTGGCGCTGCAGCTGACAAGAAGGCTTCCCGCAAGCCGAAGGTGGTTATGAGCATCTTGGAGACCACCGCGTCGATGTGAAACATGGCCGCGAGATCTTCGCGAAAAGTTGCCCGGGTTGGTCTTCGTTGCCTCTGTCTTTTCGAGTATGGAAAAGGAGGCGGCGCGGCCTCGGGTGCTTTGTCTTTGTGTTGTGTTTCTCTGTTGTTGACAGCCCCGGCGCCAGGTGAGTGCGGACCGCCCGCACGTCATTGGCGTCGGCGCTGCTTGGAATACAGCCGCGGCACGCCTGTGCAAGCTCCTCGAGGTGTAGAGAACCCGGGCGGAGGACTGGGGGAACGTAGGCGGGGAAGCAGTGGCAAAGCGGGGCGGCGTTGGCCATCTTTCTGCGCTTGGGCGCCTGGGTTGGCTCTTCGTTTTTTCTCTATATGAAAAAAAAAAAATCTTGGCGAAAAGTTTGCGAAATCTTTCAAAAGAATCCTTGCGGAATCTTTCCGCAAAGATAAGCGCACGAAGTTCCAACATTGTCAAAACTTGCAAACTTTCCGCAAACATTCCGCGAAGGTTTTGAAGCTTTCGGCTTCCGTGTTTTTTTGATGAAGGCATGGAAATGAGTCGCCGAGAACAAGCTCGCAACAGCTTGCAACGGAACCGCATGGGGCTCCGCGCTTGTTGTCTGTGCTTTTTGTGGTTTCTCTGTTCTTCTCTCCAGGCTTGGTAGGCCTCTGGCGTTGTGCATTCCGAATGCACAACGCCAGAGGCCTACCAAAAAAAACCAGCCAGAGACCCGACTACATTCCTACTACAGAACTGCTATAGGATTTCGGTGGGGTTGTGCGTGTTCGTCGGTGGTGTGTCTCGGATGTCATGACGCCCGTGCTGTGGTTGTTCGGTTCGTGGGTTCGTGGCAGGGTGCCTGGCTCCGTGTCGTGTTGTTTTTCTCTCTTTCGGTTCGTTGGCTTGTGGCGTCGGGGATGGCTCGGCGGTGGGGGTGTTTTCGGTGCTGGGGCTCACCTCCTCTGTGAGGGTGGCGCAGATGTTGGTGGGGGCATGGGGCGGCGTGGTTTTCGTTGGGACACCCTGAAGCCACGGTGGGTGGTGATCGGTGGTTTGGGTTCGTGGGCCTCTATATCTCTTGGCTGGTGGCTCTATATCCTTTCTGTTTGGTCTTCCATATCTTTCCGCTTTTTGTTCGGCGGACTCTTCTACAGCTTCCTCTAGAAAGTCTTCTATATTGTCTACTATATCTTTATTTTTTTCGCGCCCCCGTTGGAGCACTTCTATATCTTCTTCTTTATCTTCGGACCTCAAAAATCGCATTGAATTCCTTTGGATTGCGGTTTTTGAGGGTCGGGAAAAGATATAGAGTGAGGATATAGAAGGGCATCCTGGGGGGTAGAGATATAGTAGAGTTTATAAAAGACTTTATAGAGGAGGCTATAGAAGCGAAAGATATAGCAGGGGGGGTGGGGATCGGGGAAAGATATAGACGAAAACCGGGAAAGATATAGAAGAAGTCGCGGCGGTTGGAGTGGAGATCAGGTGGCCAGCTGTGGCTGACCTGGCCAGCTGTGGCTGACCTGGGCGCTGGGCATTGTGAGAGGCTTTGGCGTGGGCATGGGCATAGCTGTGGGGTGGTGACGGGGTGTCTTCTGTCCAGTAATGCATGGGGTTGGTGTGTCTGTTGTCATGTGCGGGCAGCCTGAGGTGGAGGATAGGGAGTCGTGGGCTCCGCGTGGAAGCTTGGTGGCTCCTTGGTGTGAAGCTGGTGCCGGGGCTCTTCAGGGGTGGAGGTGAGGTTGCGCAGATTTCCTCCTGGGGTGGATTTTTATCGCAGTTCTTTAGTAGTTATATAGATGTGCAGGCGGCTGGCCGCTTGCCGCATGGCATTCGTTTGAGAATTTGGCGCGAGGCTACGCCGCGGACTGGTTCGCCGGCTTGTGATGCTCTCGGCGCTGTGGTTGGCTTGTCTGTGTGTGGGTTGTGTCGGTTTCGTTTTCGGAGCTCCTCCTGGCTTCGTTTTAATGAGACAAGGACAAGGGCCGCGCGCGTGAGCCTCGGCAACTTTTCGCCAAGATTTTCTGCCGCCGGTGATTGTCGGGCGTGGTGGTCTCCAAAGCTTCGGCTTTACTTGGGGCCAGCTGTTGACTGTGGCGGAGACTAAGACCCGCAACAAGGCCAAGGCGAACAGCTGGGACATCCATCGAGCTGGCTATCATGTTGGCTGTGAAGGATTTGCCATTCGTGAAAATCCGAACCCGAATGCCGACAGCATCTATGAGACCCCCGCTGAGTACATCGCGCGTGAGACGCAGCGCGCTCTGGAAAGTCGCTCGATGGCCACCAAGTCGGAGAAGGATGCTCAGAACTTGCCTTTGCCTGCTGGCGTGTGGGACTTCTGCCATGATACCATGACCGGCGCGAAGTGCGCATCTCTTGGTCTGGAGTGCCGCGCCAGCTTGTTGGAGAAGATCAACAAGCCGAAAATTGGTGCATTGGAAAAAATGCGTTTGACGTGCGACTGGCTGCATAGTCATGGCGTTGCCGTACAAGGAGGCGGCTTCTGTCTTCGTCCACTGAATGATAAGGGTGAGCCGCCATACAGGATTAGTGGCGCTACTTCTCCCTCTTCTCCCGTCAACACTCCGCACGCGCAGCCCGATTTTGCAGATGGAGGCACAAGCGAGGCATGCTATTTACGTCGAGCAAGCCAACAAGGAGGCTGAGGCAGGACCCTCTTCCACAACAACAACGTCTACTACTACAAGCAGCAGTCTCCCAGTCGTGTGCGATGGAATTTCCAGCGGCGGCGATTTCTTGGCCTCGTTGTTGGGAGCTGATGACGCTGCTCTGACTGAAATGTTGAACAAGGCTCCAAAAACGAAGATCAAGCTTGACCAGCCTGGTGGAGAGGCCGACGCTGTTGCTGAAGATTTGCAGCACAAGTTGAACGATGTCGAGGCGACTCAGATTCTGCGTGCCTTTCGTGGTAAAACCGCCAGCGCCTTGGAGATCTCGAACGTCTGCGAGGCGATTCGCGCAGCGTCGTTGCATCTCACCGACATGGACTACGGTGCTCTATTTGGTTTTGCTATCGTCTTTGCCCTAGAGCTGGCAGCCGTTTCTCTGTTTGGATGAGAGAGATTCGCTCGATGGTTTTTCGCTCTGAAAAAGGGAAAGTCGTCTTATTTCAAAGCGTGGCCTTCTTTATCTTATTCCTATCTAGAGTCTTCAGGCCTCGTCTTCTCTCCCAACCATATCACAGATCGTTACGGGCACACGGCCTACACGCGCCTGGCCAAGTGGGTGAGCGATCAAATCGAGAAGAAAACGAAAAAGGCAAACGCGCGCCCGATGGCTTTCTTCGAAAAGTATAGTCTATTGGTAATCCTTTGGCACTTGTTTACTTTTTGAAAAGTTGGGCGCTCTTGTGGACAAGACTGGGAAGCATCAAAGGACTAGAAGACATAGGGAACCTAAAAAGTTTCAGACATACAATCATCAGCCACAAGCTATCCACCTGCCCACCTTCGTCATTTCATGACAACAACCTTCACACCAGGCACGAGGCGGCTCTCCAGATTACTGCTCCCGAGGTTTGCCGCGCCGCCGCTGAAATTCAGGCTCTTCGTGAACAGACAAAACTAAACAGCGACGGCAATCTTTCTGGTGGAGGAGATCTTGACGATGGTGATGGTGAAGAAAATGATGACGGTGGCCATGTGTTGACTGCTGCCCAACTGCGTAAGGCCAAGGACGCCATGGACGGGGCTGAGCTCCCTCTTTTCGCTTCGATGCGCCAGCGTGTGACGCACTTCTTTGCTGTCCCAGGAGGAGCTGGGGGCTGCTCTCAGCCAGGTGCTAGAATCTTGCATCAATTTGCTAGATTTTTTTAGTTTTTTGCTGCAGTATAGACATTCCAAGTTTTTTGCTCAAGGTTATTACTCATAGTTGTTGTAGGTTTTCGCTTTTCTGTGATAGTATCTCCGTCGTTTTGTACTTGATGACCTTGGGGATCTCACCTACCAACTTACCTCTCATGCCATAGGGAGTCTTCGCATCTACTCAACATTCTGCAGGCTTTCGACAACTTCTGCCAAGAAGATTCCCTTCTGGGTCGCGATGCTTTGGCGTTCGAGAAGGTGCTGTCTCGCGAGCGTGCTCGCGCGGAGGACCACGACCAGGCGAAGTCCTGGAAGGTCTTCGGATGACTTGCGGTGGCGCATGAAGCGATCCCCTCGGCCAAGAAGTACACGGATGGAGTGCATCTTCACCAGCGCCGAAGTGGAGGATGCCACCCTATCGAGCATTGACCTGTGTACAGTGAAGACTTTCAAGCTGTACATCGAGACGCGCCAGGAGGTCTGGGAGAAGATCAAGGAAAGCGCCAAAGTCGAAGCGAACGCGTGCTACATTTTATACGTTTTGCATTTGTGGCCAGTTTCTCTATCGGTGTGTCTTGTTTCTGATTTTATAGCAGTGAGAGAAAACGTTGCATCGAATTCTGTGCATTTCTTGAACCAATTAAGAACACACAAATTAAGACATCTAAAATGGGGATGTGTCCCTAGTGGCAACACTACCTAGAAAGGCGTGTATCTCGCGTCTTTTAAAATATGGATAATTCCGGTACAAATATTCGATGGTGACAAATGTAGCGCAAAGGCATCTCTAAAGGTTTCTCGTCGACAAATGTCGCAAATAAATGCACTTTCGGATTGTGGCTGGTCTGACCAATACACAATCAACACAAATGAGAAGTCAGACGCTATATGCGGATGACCTTGAATACAATCCTGAATCTTGAAAGTCTTTGTGGCAAATCGGCCGTGAATCATGTGTGCTTGACAAAGAAAACAATGCTTGTGAAAGACGGTCAGTTTGCCCTTGATTTATATAAATATGTAAACATGAGGCCATTTATCTTAAATGACCACTCCGTCACTCTTCTATTCACATAGCGTAGGATCCAAATGTATCTTTTCATTCGTGTGCTCCATCTTATCCGAAAGATATTAAATGAGTCAAGTGTCGATCTTTGAATCATGTTAACTTGTCGAACGAATAGGTGAGAGATCAAATGCGATTTCCATATGCGACCAAACGAATGTTACTTAGTGAAGCGATCTCGAACCTCCTTTGTTCGATAAGGTAACGACTATTTGTATTGCTTTTCTTTTTTTCAGTAGGTCCTTCTTCAATAAAGATCTGGAGCTTCTGTTTCAGATCTTGAAAACATTTTGTTTATGTATTGCTCTTTTTTTTGCACCCCTTTGGAGTGGGACGATCTTTCGCTCTCTCCTGAGCTATCTAGTCTAGCAGATCCGCACTCTCCGATCTCTAGGACGATCTCCTCTAGAATGTGATCTTGATGTGGTCTGTCGTAGATCTAGATATGTCTCTCGTACGTGCTTGATATGGCCTTATCACGCCGTAAGATTAATTAGGTCTCGGGATATGTGATGAAATCATACCCATTTCGAGTAAAATGAAAGGACTTTGATTATTTATGATTGTCAGTATGTTGGCAAACCCCCCCCTGTAATACGCGAATTAGTCGTCTCTATCAAGATAGATTAGATTAATCGTGGATTACCTATATTCCGCTGTAGTTCGGCCGGAGAGTCTGGGCCTTGAGGAGCGATTCCAAACAATAGTCTGCTAAAGACTATGTTTGGAGAACTACCAGTGAATATATAGTCTCAGCGCCTCTCTTTGTCAACATACTTGACCATTAGTTAATTGAGCGGACTTTTAGTAGTAAATATGGGTATGTATACGGAATTGTTAACGTAAATCAGTTCGTCCCTGTCCCCCTCCCGTGTTATAGATATGTTGTTCTTCGAAAATCCCTCAACTTCTTCCAAGACTCAACGCCAGTGTTGGGTCCAGAAGGTCTCTGCATCATCCCAGAGTGCCTCATGTGGGTAGTCCTCCTCCCACCATGAGTGAGTGAAGCTCAGACTGGCACGCAATCCCATAACATCTCCGTGAAGTGATGCAATTGGAAGGAACCAGCCTGACCAAGTCGCCGGACGTAGGATGAGCACCACCTTCCGCATGTATCCTGTGTGCTTGATGAGGGCAACAGGAGTCCAGCGAAAGTCAATGGTAGCTCGTCGACACACTCCGAAGTGTCTGGTCCGTACCGTCTCGAAGGCTTGACGTCCCACGAGGGCCAAAAGCACGACGTAGCGCCAAAACTTGACGAGGACTGGAGAGTGCTCTTGGAGCAAGGAGATGTGCCACGACGAATAAGGAGCAGCGCGCACATGACCGTCGACACCTTGGTCGTTCTGATGGACTCCAAAGTTTAGCATCTCCTCATTCGGCGGCATGTGTCGCCCCTGATTGTTGGGTCCATACCCCTGCACATTATTGGCACCTCGATCACAGTCCGAGTCATCCGGATCTTCCGTCATTCCGATGTAAGCTTGCGCTAGACTCGGGTAAGGTAGGCCGTAATAACTACTCCAAGTGATGACAATACGACTTGTGACAAATGGCTCTGGATTGGTCAGAGCACGTCTGCGTCCCCAAAGATTACAGCGGAGCAGGCACTCTGACGCCAGATAGCGCGGCGCACAAAAAACCCAAGTGAAAACCTTGTGAAGGAAGAGACTCAGGAGTGTCGCCGCACCGAAGTCGCGAAATGACTCGTGGAACTGGAATCCCCTATCCCATAGTTGTGTGAAGACAAACCAAAAAGCAATGGACAGAAGAGAGAAAAGCTGATGGTCAAAAAGGAGAAACAAATCCGTAATTGTCAAGAAGATAGAAGAAGGGAAATACAGAATATGTCGGAATTTCCTTTGAAATATCCCCGCCGCTAGCGCTAGAGACACAAAAGAGGCCATCCCAATAGTCACAAGCTGCGTATCCTCGTCCCACATCGTCTTACTTTCTGGTATGTTATATCTTTCTTGAATATCCCGAAGTCTAACAGAAACCTAGAAACAGTTGGGTCGATTTTTGTTCTCAATCCTGTATGATGGATATGCTATATGTGTATATCTTTTTTTTGTTGTTTTGTATTTTTTAATATTGATGTTCTGGTGATGCTCTTTCTTCGTGGAATCTTGTGTACGGTCGTGACGGGTGCAACCCCACATCATACTGTGTTATACACTATTAGTAGCGTACCAACAAACAGTAGGAGGATTACATCAGTCCATCCAAGTCAGGGCGACATAAATTTTCTTTTCGACCATGCCATGATTCTCTGGAAGTAGCGCATCAAAGGTGCAATTGATTTTGATATTACTTCGTGAAAGGCAAATCAGGCGCAGTACGATTGACAGGTCATTCCATTTCAAAGAATGTCAGAAGAACACGGTAGAGAATTAGCAGAACTGTCTGTGTGGCGAGGCCAGTTCTCTATGAACAAAGGGCCAAAACCATGCTAGCTGCAGCTCCTCATGGAGATACAGGTAACGTAGAACTACTAGAAATGTAGGTACTGCACTGCTATAAATCTACTATACTTACTGCGCCTCCTGCCAAGACAGAGCTAACGCAGTGTTATAATACAAATATAACCCCGCACACCTAAAATTCTAGGAAGTGTCTGTTTACGCTGTAAAGATATATATACTGTCACTATAAATATACTTTACCCTCTTTATAATTACCCCCTAGGAGTCTCATTTTCTTCAACACCCCCCCTCTCGCAATCAATAGAAAGAATCTGGTGGTCGAAATTTCGTCGCGTCGTTCGAAGTCGAAGGCGCAGGCCGGGAACGTGGAAAAAATGCTGTTTCTCATACGGCATTCGGATTCGTCCGGTATCGCTTTTGACGCTCTTCTCGAATTGTGTCACTGCTGCTTTATTTGCAACAAAGTAGTCAATTGTAAAACCCGTTTTGTCCGGGCAGCGGAAAGTCCAAGTGCTATCCCCTTGTGTGACGCACGCTGCCGCCCGGCCAAGTAAACTATCTTGAAGAGACTTTGTCTCACGCTTGCTACAAGACGGCGTCTCACGATCGTTACGTCTATGCAGGCAAACATGACATCGTGACAAAAGTCGGCTGAAATCTCCAAAGGCTACTGAAGGGACGACAGTATCAAACCACTGACCAAGCGCCTTATCAAAGGCTTGGGCAACGTCAAATCGGCGCAGCTCCTCCGAAGAGTTGACACTGTAGATGTTGGCGATGCGCGCCGTAATTCCAAACAAATCGAACTCGAGTACTGCAAACCGTCCTTCACGGTCTGCAAAACCCAAGATGCCTCCCGATGTTGGGATGTTACTGTAGTCCAACTGGTCACCACAATAACGGTGTCTAAAATCTCGGCGAACAAAGGTTGCAAGGCTGCTATAACCGACGCGCGTGGTTGAATTGCGAAAATAAATTGCATTCATACTTCGATCCCAAATGCTCTTCGAGTAGTTTCCGAAACTTCGTTTCTGTGGTTGCTGAAAGCTTGGTTTCCTGGATAGAAACGAAATGCGGTGAAGTGTCGAATACCGAATAAAAGTCTTGCAGTCTTTTAGAATCTTCGAAGGTTGCTGCAAGTCCGTCAATGTTGTAGCTGACCGCACTAAACGAGTCTGTAGGTGTCGGGAGACTACGATCGACTCCGGTACGGAATGATGCAAGAATACGCGCATACTGCCCTTGCGGAAATACTTCGAGCTCCTCAAGCTCTACTACACGTTTCGCCAGTTCTCGTCGGGTCAGGCATTTCGAAAGGTGCATGATGATCGCGCCATGAGACAACTCGACCGGGCGGATCATTCTGATGCTTTGCGGGTTACCTAGTTTGTGTGGTGCTCCGGACAAAAGTTGTATCGATGCACTATTAGCGCCTCGATGTGTTACAACAAAAAGTCGTGGGAGCATGCGGCTCTCGAATTTGCCCTTCTTGGCACGTAGTCGAACCACTATAGACCCCATCTGAGTGCGCAGGTCATCTTTGGCAGCTTCACGACGGAGTCCCTTATGATGGTTTCGGAGTCGGTTTGCATAGTAAATCGAGTCGACCTGTCTTCGTCGGCGAACTGCTAGCGAGACCTCGTCAGCAAGCGTCTGTGACGGTGACGATTCAAAAACCTCCTCCCTTGTAGTGATGAAGTTGGAGCCGGTATGACGCTCAAGAGTCGACGCTCCATCAAGAGAAGGCAATGGGCTGCGAGCAAGTGCTAGAGAAGCGCGATGAGCAAACTCATGCCAATTAATAGGAAGTAAAGCAACTTCTTCCTCCTGAGGGTCGTCAAGGTCTTAACCATTCTTCTTTGAACGCGCGGTGAGAGAAAAATCAGCAAACAGATCATCCTCAACAGCGTCGACAAAATCGTCCTCATGGCATCCAAGCTCTACTTCTACTTCGGATTCTTGTAAAGAGATGTCATTCTGATGAACTTCTTCTGAGTTGTTAACTGCATCATCTGGAAGAAGCATCTTGTCTTCTGGAATAGAGTCGGGCTCAATCCGATGGGTGCCGACAAGTATTCTAAATCCCTTAGGCAACTTCTTGACTTGGAGATGTCCTGAGTCTGGATCTCGTTTGAGGTGAGCCTTGAATTCCGACTGGAGGTGGAAAATCCGGATCAGGAAGTTCAAAAGTGCATGCGGATGTTCCACAATCCAACTCCCGGATGCAAGGTAGTGTGGCGAATGCCACGTGCCAACCGTGTGACTGGGGGCAACCTTTGAGGCCAGCGAGTTCAAGGTGTCAAGAAATTTCCTCAAAAAGTGCGATCCGTTATCACACCTGATAAACGAATAAAGTTGGAACGTAGAAAGCATGATGTTAAATGTCTCCCGCGCTGCTGTATCTGCAGTTGAGTCACGGGTCGGCACTGCCCAAGTGAGGTTGCTTCGGCCATCTGTGGCCGTGAAGATAGAGGTGTACTCTGACCCTCGGACCGCACCAAAACTGCTCGATCCAAGATTGGTGATGAAGTCGACAAACAGAACCGTGCCTCGGTGTTTGTACATCTCCAAACGAGGCTGCATCTGGATGTCGTAGTGAAATGCAGCTGGTGATATCGAACAGGTAAGACACGCTTCGACCACTCGTGCGCAAAGGGTGGAAAGATCCGTAGTAAAGAACCCTCTGCGCATTACTAAGCAGTGCAAAACGCCGCGGCTAGAGTGCGCGTCGTCATGAATGTGCGCAATCACTGCTACTGCAATCGATGCGTGGGTGTACTCTTTACCTTCATACTCCAATGGGTCTGCCTCAAGGAGAGTGGTAAGGAGGAATTTGCATTCCCCTGTCACTCGCTGTTGTAATGCTCCTGCGTAGATGCGATAGCGGTTTGATTCCTCAAGGAAGGCCATCGCTTTCCGTCTCGAAACCGACTCTCCCTTTTTCTGACAAGCACTGACTACATGTGCGATGGCTGCGTCAGAAGAGTCCGGATGTCGGGTCTGCGCTTCAAGTGCTGCAAACCGTGCAAAGAACTGAGACTTTTGTGTTTCTGCAAGTCGAGCAAGGAAGTTGCTTGGTATCGAAAGGAAGTCTACTGGTTTTCGGCAGAAAATCAAATAGATTGTTTCTTTTGTCCGTGCTTCTAGGAAGTCATCACCCACTATCTGGAAAAAGTGTGGTCCCCCATGTCGCCGGATACGGTATTTCCGCTTACGAGGAAGCTCCCTAAAGTCGGACTCAACTACAGGGGGTCCGCCGAACGGGTCGTCATCCGTAGGTGTATGGCTCTGATCAGCATCACCTGCATGCTCGAAGTCCTCTTGTAGCAGGCCTCCGTCTAGAGGTGTATAGCTCGATTCCCCATCCGCTACGGATGTCCGCTTCTCCTTGGCAGAGATGAAATAAAACCTACAGGCGCCTTCGCACTTGTAGGACTCCGCATCTCCTGTTCCAATAAGCGCGTGAATTGTGGTCCACGAATGTCCAAGATCTCCCGGATGAAATGATTTATCGAACTTTTCTGCTATCTCGAAGAAAGAGCCATCCGTGTTGGAATCGTCATGGAAAACGTGATCCCCTTCGAGCAAGGTGTCAAGCTTTTCAAACAGCAGTTTGGAATCGGCCTCAATTCCACCTGGAAGTATCATGTCTGGGATGTCGCATGGAGGTCCCGGTGGCGGCCCCACCTCAGGAACATCTACTGCAAGACTGCATCCACATCTGAACTGTATGTATGTATCGCATTCATATAGTTGAGCCGCTGTTGGACAGAGCGGGTTCTCTTCTGTGGATCGTGTAACTTTGCCTTCTTCGGCAAATAAGATGACCACGAATGCCAGACATCCGCCTTGCGCATCGTCTCTCGGCTCGGAAGCGCTTTGAACTCGCGCCATGAATGTTCCTTAGGATGCCCAAGGGAGTGTCCAAACATCTTGAGGACAATCTCGTAGGCGCGATCCGCTGGGCGCGGCCAATCATCTCTAAAACGCAACCACCTTGAGCCTGAAGGAGGCAAAAGGGAAGTGTCTGGGACTGTGATAACCAAATTATCACCTCGTTCGTCTGTCTTTCTTCTAACATGTAGTGAAAATCGTACGCATGGTAATCGGATCTTGGTCACTGCGTTAGGTGTTGGTGCTGCTGGGAGCAGCTTCTCTTCCTTTGCCGCACTGTCCTCGTCAGCTATGTCGCCCTCTTCTAATTGCGAATTTGAAGCAAAGGCGGCAGGCGCCATCGGAGTCCCAGACTTCTCTGGTGGCCTCGAACAGATGAAACATTGTGAGAAAGATTCGTCCACTTCTCGCCACTGTTGGATACACTCGCGATAACTCTCCCAGTCACCTCCTGCGAGGGTGCAGCCGATTCGGGCGGGGAAAACCGCAATCGCCTCCTTATCATCTGTCTTTCTGTGCGCCTTCACTAGATCACTGAGTCTAGTCAGGGAAGTCTTGAAGTGCTGGAGGCGGCGAAGTGAGTCGTCAAAGCCTTGCACCGATTTGCCAGGATAGTGTTGTCCGGCAAGTCCAGCGACACCAAATTCATCGTTCTCAGGATCCCATCTCAAATAGCAATTTCCTAATGTTCTTTTCGAGCCGTCGCTATAGATGTTTGCCCAAGGAAACAGATCGAGAATCGTCTTCGCAATGCCTTTCGCGGATTGCGTAACGCAGTTGATCTGATGCACTAAAACAACTCGAACCTCCTTGCGCTCAAGGAGGCTTCTCAAGTGGCTCAAAGCGCAAATTTCCAAATCGGTGACTCGGGTCCGAGGAGCAGCAGCAAGAGTCTGTGTCGAGTTGTCCTCTAGACAGATGGCTCCTTGTTGCTGCGGTATCTCTGTGCTGTTCGTAACAACCTCAAACCCCGTAAGCAACTCAGACCAAACTTCGGAGCATATGTTAATCGGCCATGATACTGGGAGCAATGCGCGGCTCAACGCGGCAGCGTCAACAACCAATCGCCCTAACAAAGATCCCTTTCTCTTCGCAAGGAAAATGGAGCTGAGAAACGACGGCGCGCCAATCTGTGCTGCAGACGTATGGTAAGGCGCCAGAAAGCCTTCGGCACAGCCTTCTCGTAATAGGAGCAAGATGATTGTGTCTAGTACTCCGGGAAGCGTAAACTTGCGAGCCACACCGAAAGGACTTCTAGTGTCCAACGGGTGATAGACTTTACACAACTGGACTGTAGGGAAAGGCCGTCCAGGGCCCCAAACCTGATCTCGGAATATCAGCACAATTTTGATGAACATCATACGCAGCAGGAAAGGAAGCAGCGTCAGATTCTTAGAGAGCGTCTTGAAAATGGTCTCCTCCCACTGGGCCGTGTCAATTGTGTCAGACATACTCTTTTCTCGTGCTGCGATTTCCTCTTTAATCTGCTCCTCGGTCGCATCTCCTGAAATCGCATTCCTGTATGTCTTGCACTTCAAATGCTGTGACTTGTCGGCGTCATCTTGTGTTGCCTCTGGTGCGTCCTGCGCCATTCCACTTATCTGCGTCATGCGGACACGAACGTGTTTAAGCTGGTCTCCCGTAACGGCGTCTCTCAAAACGAGCATAGGACGGAGGACCCGGCTACTCTTATCTACAAGCGTGCAGTTAAACTGGATTCCTCTCGCAAGATCCGATAGCGGAAGCACCAGCGGAGCCCCGGGTACTGAAACCATAGAGGTGAAGCTGACATCGACGGAAATATTATAGTAGGACTTGTCATTCCGTGAGCGATGGAAGACAGAGTACGGATCTACCTGAATTTCATGGAGACTCGGGATTCCTGGCGCGAGACTCGATTTCTCGATTACCCAGGACAAACCATCCGCGTGTAATAATGGATGTTCGAGTGAGAGAAGCATGAGAGTCTCTTCAAGAGTGGGGACAACGGCGACAGTCCGCAGTGGTTGTCCGACCGGGCGTACCCGGGAGAACAGGTTCTTGACAACGTCCCGCCACTCTTCAAACGTTGACTCCGGTAACTCAACACCCTCCGTGTTTTCGATGTGTCTACTACCAATATCTTCTAGGTTTGAAGATGCACCAATCCGATGAACCCGATACACAACTCGAGATGAAAGGGCGGTGTGGATTTCGCTTGCCATTGCCGCAGCAGACCGCTGAGGACGCACGTCCAATGATTCCGTGAGTAGTTCTCGGACGCCGAGTGACGAACAGTCGTAAAGCAGTGCTATCGGGGCGGCCAGCGGGATGCGTGGGAGAATTTCTCGGACAAAATACCGCAACCCGAGGAGTTCCATTCGTCCTGAGCTGTTAGCGTTCCTCGCCTGGTCCTCTGCACCAAATTTCCAATGTGAGGCGAAAGCAATTCGGTGCTTCTGCAATTGTTTCTGGACTGCAAAAACAGAGCGTCCTTCTCTGGATGAGTCAATGCCGAACCGTATGAGTCCTCCTGTCTCTTTCCAACGGATGGCTGAGTCTACATCTAACTCACAAAGCTCGACTGCTCGTATCAGATCCGAATGCGCCTGGTTGAACAGTTCTCGTGCTCGCGGGTCAGATGCGAGTTCCTTGATGGGCCTCTTGTTAGTCATGAAGTCGGTAAAGAAGTCCAGGATCTTAGGCCACTCGCGGATAGAGCATGGCATGTAGTTGACTGTGCGCACCCAGCTCTTAAGCGTTTTAAGCGTCGTAGGCATCTTCATCCTGGCCAGAGATGCAACTTTCTGCGGGTCTGGTCTCCTGCAGCGTTGCTCGTAATCTAACTCCCACCCGAGTATGTAAACTCTGATGGCGAGAGAGATTTTCTTGAGTGAAAAGTTAAATCCGGACGCACAACAACGTGCTAGAAATTGTATGAGCCGGAAAAGAAGTTGGAGCGCGTTATCTGCTCTGTAGTTACAATCGTCCATGTATGGTACACTGTAACGTCGTCCAATCGGAAGACTCTCCTGTAGTGAATTGATTACGCCCTGCATCTCGTCTGAAGGTGGATCAACGTACAAGGAGTCGTCAAAAAGATCGTCGGATCCATTAGTGCGGCAAGGCGGCAAATATGTGCTCTTGCCTATTTCGTGTCCGTATTGGTCAACGAGTGCGTCATACCCAATTGATCCTGTTGCGATTGCTGCTAGTACTTTTGAATCAAATCCAGGGTCCTGCAGGTTGAAGAAAACCAATGAGACACAAAGACAATAGACTGCCGGCGCGAAAACAAGTCCCAGGAACATCCGCAGCGGCACGCAAACGCTAGTACCATATCCCAGTGCGGTAACCTTCTGCATCTTGGGGTGAAGTAAGAACTGGAGAAATCCCTTTGCATGATCCAATCCAACAAAGCATCCGACCTTGGCGGATCGTAGCCACTCAAAGGCGCACCCCTCCACCGCTGCAATACGGAGGATAGGAGTCACCACTTTTTAAAGAAGCTGAACCACTAGAATAAGGAACTGCCAGGCCCCACAGGCTACTGAGAACTTTGGGACAAACTCGCTCCGAAGTTCATCAGTATCAGATCCGTTCCTGACGTGTTCCTCCACTGCCTTCTTGACGTGTTCTGGGACATCTTTGTCCGCCTCTTCTACAGAGCATGAACGCAGGGCACCTAAAGGCCCTGAGGTCAAATCTGGATCGTCTGTACTAATTTCAGAAAATCTGCCGTATCTCGACACTTCTAAGATGTGACTGCCCAGCCGGCAAAACACTGGCAGCGGCTCATCTGGCTGAATATACTGCGGCTGCTGCATGCTATCCAAATTCTCCTCTGTGCAGGAAGAGATCTCGCGGGTTTCGCAAAGGCCACAACCCTCCGGTGGGAAGTGGACTCGTCGGTTACTCTGGAAGACCGGATTGTCAATCCAGTGCGGGAGTCGATGCACATAGAGGGGCGCAATCTGCCTCGTCAAAGGGTTCTGAAGCCTGCTGAGCAAAATACAACCAAGCTTGTCACAAATGCCTCCAACCGGGTTAGTATCGTTTAAACAATACCCTATTCGCGCCATGTCGTTTACTCCTAAAGCAATTCGATCGCGTTCATACAACCACGGCACTAGCATCAACACAAATGTGCCTGGTACTGTCGCGTCGCCAAGATCTGCCATGTTTTCCGGTTCTTTCAGCCATGAAAATCTTGATCCATTAACAGCGTCCTCGATTGTTGCTAACGCTTTAACATATCGAAACCTTGATGGCAAAACGCTGCAAGGGGCTGAAAGCCCTTCTGAAAGGGAAATGTAGTTCTCTTCGGAGTCATACCTTGCAAAGGCAAGAGATACTTCACAATATTCGAGCACCCCTTGTTGAACACCTGCAGATGGTGAACCAAAGGCAGTATATTCGACCTTGCTCATGTCGCGTTGGATCTTAACTCCAAGGTGGTCAAAATAGTCCCGATTTCCCAAAGAGTTGCCATATAAGTGTCTGGAGACGGCACAGCCAGAGTCTGGCAAAATGCTGACAACGGAATACTCAGGGCATTCTCCATCTCGTGGTAATATTACCGCTGCTGCAATTCGATTTGGCAATGGCTCTGGGGCGATGCGCTTGCCTCCAGGTCCAATTTGACTAAGCTCAGGCGGAGCGTTCAGGGAACCTCGAAACCTCGGTCCATCACTCGTGTAAAGTCCTGTAACATCAGCAGGGCTGCAACGCAGCCCAAACCTCTCCGTAAAATGGGACTCAACATTACGGTAGTGGCGCTGGCGCTCTGCCTGGATATGAGCACATCGTCGTTGTGCTATCTTGTGCGCTACCACGTCATCTTCATCCTCGAGTGTGGTAGGTCCGACGTCCACACAAGTCTCAGCTTGAACAGCTATTCTTACCCATTCGTCCAAAACTCGTTTTTTCTGGAAGGCGAACAACATGCTGCTACCGTGTGGGTGGAAAAATTCCACTATCTCCTGGGTGTCGTTGAACAGAAACGAGACAGTAAAGATGTTACCGCGGATCTGTTGTCCAGAATCTTCTTCCACAATTTCCTCAAAAGGAGGGCTCTTTTTCAGGAATTCAAGCATGCCCTTCGTAGACAGGCTAATCTTCCAAAGGCTCTCGAAGTCGCCCGACTGTGGGGCGGGAGTCACATGTACCAAGCAGGAATCTTCTGATGTGGATCTGCTCGTCGAAAAAGGGGTAGCAACGTTTGGCAAAGTAAGTTCCGGTGAACGTGTCTCGGACCACTTTGCCGGCTACGCCCGACACAGAGTCGCCATCCTCGGTCGTGTACATGTCCTCCGGGTCGGCGCCGTCAGTCCTTGAGGCGGCTTGTTGATAACGGCCTGTGTCAAACATTCGGGCCCTCCTGGCAGATGAAGCTCCACTCGGAGGGGCCTCTCTTTCGTTCGTGTTCCCTCGCCGTTTCCGCAAGCAGCGCCTGATACAAGGGCAACGGGAGAAGAAGTTGGCGAAGGAAAATGATGATCCTGTCGTGATCGAAGGGTCGGACTCGTGGCGCCTCCTAAGGGCATCAGCATGCTCTTGGGATACCTCTAAACGCCGGTAGTTACATCCCGACGGCATAGGTGGCGGGGTGAAAAACTTCTGCAAGAAGATGGTGGAAGGAGATGATGGCCTTGTCGGGATCGAAAGGTCGGGTCCGCGGCGCTTCCTAAGGGCATCAACATGCTCTTGGGATACACCTTGACGCTGATAATTGTGCCTCGACGGTGTAGGTGGCGGGCGGGGTAAGAAACCTCTGCAAGAAGTTTGTAGACGAAGGCAGTGACCTTGTCGGGATCGAAAGGTTGGCTTCGTGGCGCCTCCTAAGGGCATCAGCATGCTCTTGGGATACCTCTAAGCGCCGATATCTGTGTCCCGACGGCATAGGTGGCGGGATCAGAAACTCTTGCTGAGATCGTGGCGTTGGTGGTGAAACCGTAGGGGAGCGGGGTGCAGCCGGAGCTTCAAACACTCTCTGAAACGACCGGGATCTTTCGGCCAAAGTCCCGTCGGTCACGCGTCCGAACGGTGTCGCTACAACAGGTTCTTGCTTGCTCTTCCGTTGGGTCAGGTCCTGACGTGGTGGTTTAGTCTCGGACTGCTGTTTCGAGACTCGAACTTTCTGATCTCGTGTCAGACTGCTATCCCATCCTCCGAGATGTCGCACCGTCTGAAGCATTTTATGTTTTAGATCTCTGACCTTGGAGCGTGCCATTCGGGGCTTGTACTGGTTTACGACGTGGTCCATAAGCCGTGCCTCGCGGAACGCTTGCGAGACTCTTTCGTTCTCAGCAAAGGTCTTATCAAACGACCACTCCTTCTCAGTAAAAGCCTGCAAAGCCTTCTTGAAAAGGTAGCCCAACTGGTTCTTGTCCACTGAGTTGAAACAAGTGCCATTTGGCATCTTAGCGCCGTTTTCAGTTCTCCATTTCGCAATCAGATCAGCACAGATCCAAACTTGATCCAACACTCCCTCGCGTCGTATCTTGATGCTGCCATGTCTTGTGCCACAAGTCGGGCAATCCACGTTCTGCGGTGTAGTAGTGTGCGCAAAACAGTGGGCAGCTGTAATAAGGTGGAATATAACACAGTCAAGTCGAGAGTGGTCACCGCCGCACTTCTTACTGTTCTTACCAGAACCCTTTCCTTTTGTTTGGTTCGGTTCTGTGGACCTCCAAAGTAGGTCTGCGACGTCGAGTTTATTTCGGGTGTCCGCACCTGAAAGGGATGGTCCTTCTAAAGTGCCACCGCGCTGATACTCGTTGTTGTAGTCCTCCTGATCGCCCTGTTCCTCATTGAGTCGGCGACTCTGGAGGTTCTTGGGTTGTCGTTCTCTATAGAATCTATCCGGGTCTATTGATTGACCCTCAAATGCGTCCTTGATGACGAATTCAAGGACCTCTGAAAGACGTCGATCCGCCTCAATATCAAAGGCACGCCCGTTTATGGCTGCGTCCTGTCGCGTTGTCTTATACATGTTTTCCATGAACATGCCCTGCTGTTGAAGTGGTCTAAGAATTGCATGAAAGACTTTACTATCGTTGCGGCTGCTCGGGTCTGAATTCGGGTAGTAGAGGCGGTTCAGCTCGGAGATGTGCCCCTTCTGTTGCTGTGCCCACTGGAGGCGGTTGGCTCTCGCATTCTCAAACCTTTGTCCAATCGGCAAGCTTCTCTGCGACTGTACTTCTCGGATGGCACCTCGGTACGTAAGTCTCCAACCCTTCTCTAGTTCCGTGAACAGTGCATACGCCTTGTTTAAGTCACCGGACACCGCATTCGCAATGTCCCACGCGTCTCTTCCTACTTTCGACTCGATTTTGACGGCCTCGAAAGCAGTCTGCGTGAAGTCGAAGTCCCTGAGGAACTTCCACAGGGCTTCGCGTTCGTTCATCATTTCTACCTGGGACATGCCTGCTTCACAGGTTATGGAGGGCGCCTGTCGCTCCAGCGGCTTGGCACCAGACCCTCCAAGTGTGGCGGCTCCGTTAAGGCGGCGAGCAATGGCTTGAAAAGTGCCGCCAGACCCAGAAACAAGTGATGAAATATGCTTACTGACCATGTTCTGGATGGTCAGTTCCAGTGGGAAAAGAGCTGAGAGGTTGTCGTCAGCGACCTCTTCCACTACTATGGGCGGCGCCGAAGGCATGTTTCTGCGATAAGGCTGCATCTTCTTGGAATTGCCCGTTGAAGGTGTGGGCACTCCTGCGGACACATCGCCCTTCGGCTGGTATGTCTCTGTAAAGGTCAGAAAGTTCTGGAACACAAGATATGCTTCGGACTTCTCAGTCTCCTTAGCGTTGATCTTGCCAATCTCCCCTAGGAACCTATGCTCCAAATTATGCCTAGTAGAAATAGGCCTCGGCGCTGGTAGGGGCGGTGTAACGGGCGGCCCACCAACTCCGATGTCAGACCGGTTTAACTCGGGTCTTGACTGGTTGACCGATAGATGAGTGTTCGCTGGCGGTCCACTCGGCTCCATTACAAATGCTGAATATCCTGCTAACTGTCCTGTCACTCCAGGGTCCGGAAGAGCGGAACTTGCACTAGCGGTTGTCGAGTGTCCGCGGATTCCTGAAGTCGAAGGTCGCGCCGGTTGATAAACCGCAGACGACGGGATGGCTGTATCTCCATGGCCTGCTCCTAAGCTCGGGACCCCGCCAGGAGGGAGTGCCGGCGCGTATATCAGGCGAGTAGACGGCGACTCAGGAGCCAGTCCTGGGGGATAGTGCGATGGTAAGCTCGTAGTGCCGAAGTGCGGAGTTCGTGAAATCGCCTCAGCTTTCGGTGCCTTCTGTGGGGCAAGACCTCGCACAGATGATACTACTGGGTCGCTCCGGCCGGCTGGCGGGGCAAAATCACTACGTAGTGCGGCGAATGAACCACCTGTAACTGGTGGGAAAGGCGCCGCTGTATGTCCAGGAATAGGCAGGCGACCACAAGATTTCCGAGGTCTGACAACACGCCATCCAAGTTCGTCAGGTTTCGTAAGTGTGTGTCGGACCCTAAATATACCTGAAGGTGCGACCGTAGGAGACAAATACTCCGATCCACTTCCGGGTGACACTAGCGTCTTGCCCTTGTAGCCAACAGAGACATGCTCAATGCAGATTGAACTGTTCTCACTACACCAAAGGTCATCTGCTCCTTGTTGTTTAAACTGGTCCCAGGCCGCTGTCCAAAGCCGGAGAGACTTTTCAGAAGGGAACTCCAAATGATGCGTCATCCTCTCACTGCGAGTAGCGCGCCCTGCGGAGAACGCAGCTCCAAGCAAGACTCCGTGCAGGCAAGTCAAGACGGACGTCGAAACAGTCCCGAACGATGTTTTCAAAATAGCGGTAGTGCGGGTCAAACACTGTTCCAGAAGTTTTCTGTTATTTTGTTGTGCATTATTCTGAGGGATGAGAAAATCAACCCGAGGTAGTGAATAGTTGTCACCGGGCTTCCCGAGCTGCGTTTCTCCTGTTATCCATACTGGAAACCCAGAGTTAACCGCATCTGAAAACAAGCCATCGCAGTCTCTCGCCGCAAAGGCATCTATTCTCCCTGAGCCTTCAACTACTACTGGTTCCAATTTAGCTTGGTGTTCTAAAGGGTCACTTCGGACGCTTCGCTCTGTGTGAAGGTCTTCGAGAAGTGTGCAAAGGCGGTCGGGATCGCCCCGGCCATCCGCACTCGGATAAACATCGACGTTAAGGTCCACCGGTCCGTGGATGTTGGGATGGTGGCCTCGAGTCGTCCTTGAACCTTGATCAGAACATTGGTTCTGTAATGGTGAGTTCGGAGGGTCAGGGAGGTCTTCAAACTCGCCGACCGGCTCCAGTCGATGATCTTGGCAAGAGCCCACCGCTGGCTCATATCCGACATTTCGGGATGGTCTTCCGCCCGCCTTTCTGGAATCCGGACTATCGTTTCGAATAACCGAATCGCCCTTCCCCGCGTGGCGGCAATCAGCACGTGCTCGAGAGGCAGAACCACCATTCTGTCCAGGATATTGTAGGGTGGAATCTATTGCAGACATTTTCGGCGCTACAGGCAGGCTTTGAGCTCCAGTAGAGGACCGGGCCTCAAGCCGTGCAGTCGCATCATCGAGAATGTCTTGTCTGCGCTGGAATTCCGCCATTTGGTCCGCAAATTTCTTTGAAAACTCGGCGCGGATCTCTCTTCGAGCCTCTTCGAGAAGAATCGTCTTCCAATCCTCCATTTGTATCTCTGGCATTTGCGTCAGATCTCTACTTCCCTGATGTTGGTTGTGACTTTGAATTTGATCCGCACCTTCACTAGATGCGCGGTAATCTGCAGCACGACTTGTCGCGCTGCCAGAAGACCTAAGGCGAGGAGCTGGGGGAGCGTATCTTCGATTTTTAACGGCGAAAATAGGCGGACTCGCCGGCTCCTGACCCGTCGGTTGCTGGTCCAATCGAACATCACACGCGGAGGCGAAAGATGTTGGATACGCAATGTCTGAATCCGGAGGAGCGCTTGGGCGCACCTCCGTTCCTTGCGAAGTTAGCACTTCAATGTCCGTAAGATCGTCACTTTCCCCAAACAAGCGCTGTCCGACTAAAGCATCTCCCTGGCCCGTTTGATGTCGGAGTGGAGGTAAGTTTGTCGAAGTGCGCAAAACAGGAGTAAGAACCGGAGACTCATCATCCCGCTCACTGATAGGAGAAAGGTTCGAAGCCGGAAGCTGCGGGGCAAACGGAGGCGGAGCTGCAGAGGGAGGATCAGCCTCAGAAGCGCCACGCGGGTTTGGAGACTCGAAAAGTCCGCTATCCTGCAAGCCGGAAGGGTCATCGGAGATACCCAGCCCTTCGAGATCAGCCGGACTTTCATCAACCCGGACCCCCTGTAAGGTCAGGCTCGGGGTGAATGGGTTCCGTACCAACCGGCCCGATGTTGTCGTCTCGTGAGTGGACATTCTTTAGGTCTATCTATAAGTTCTAATATAACGTAAAGTAGATATACTAGAGACAATAAAGTGAGAATGCAAATATTCGTATAAATGCAAACCTGGCGTGGCAGATAGTATTCTTAAGCAGAAACTATAAGCCGGCAAATAAATCAGAAATAAACCAGATTGATAAATATAAATCAACAAAGGGTGCAAACCTATATGCTGTGCCTCGAGATATCCGCTTGCCCGCCAAGACGCCCGGATAAACTCTATTACACCAGAATGCACAGGTATGTATTGCACGGTCTACGGGGTGAACTGGCTAGGATCACAACCAACGCGCGTTATGTAATACAGCGGTAAGTTCTAGGGTTTCTATAATGTAAGCACCACTATGCCATCGTTACTATAACTACATTAATACCCAAATTATGGCACTAGTTGCCAGTATCGTTCTCCACCACTTGAACCAATTAAGAACACACAAATTAAGACATCTAAAATGGGGATGTGTCCCTAGTGGCAACACTACCTAGAAAGGCGTGTATCTCGCGTCTTTTAAAATATGGATAATTCCGGTACAAATATTCGATGGTGACAAATGTAGCACAAAGGCATCTCTAAAGGTTTCTCGTCGACAAATGTCGCAAATAAATGCACTTTCGGACTGTGGCTGGTCTGACCAATACACAATCAACACAAATGAGAAGTCAAACGCTATATGCGGATGACCTTGAATACAATCCTGAATCTTGAAAGTCTTTGTGGCAAATCGGCCGTGAATCATGTGTGCTTGACAAAGAAAACAATGCTTGCGAAAGACGGCCAATTTGCCCTTGATTTATATAAATATGTAAACGTGAGGTCATTTATCTTAAATGACCACTCCGTCATTCTTCTATTCACATAGCGTAGGATCCAAATGTATCTTTTCATTCGTGTGCTCCATCTTATCCGAAAGATATTAAATGAGTCAAATGTCGATCTTTGAATCATGTTAACTTGTCGAGCGAATAGGTGAGAGATCAAATGCGATTTCCATATGCGACCAAACGAATGCTACTTAGTGAAGCGATCTCGAACCTCCTTTGTTCGATAAGATAGCGACTATTTGTATTGCTTTTCTTTTTTTCAGTAGGTCCTTCTTCAATAAAGATCTGGAACTTCTGTTTCAGATCTTGAAAACATTTTGTTTATGTATTGCTCTTTTTTTTGCACCCCTTTGGAATGGGACGATCTTTCGCTCTCTCCTGAGCTATCTAGTCTAGCAGATCCGCACTCTCCGATCTCTAGGACGATCTCCTCTAGAATGTGATCTTGATGTGGTCTGTCGTAGATCTAGATATGTCTCTCGTACGTGCTTGATATGGCCTTATCACGCCGTAAGATTAATTAGGTCTCGGAATATGTGATGAAATCATACCTATTTCGAGTAAAATGAAAGGACTTTGATTATTTATGATTGTCAGTATGTTGGCAAACCCCCCCTGTAATACGCGAATTAGTCGTCTCTATCAAGATAGATTAGATTAATCGTGGATTACCTATATTCCGCTGTAGTTCGGCCGGAGAGTCTGGGCCTTGAGGAGCGATTCCAAACAATAGTCTGCTAAAGACTATGTTTGGAGAACTACCAGTGAATATATAGTCTCACTCTGTCCTTTGTAGTAGTTTCTTTCATCATTTTCAATGCACGCAGCGAGTCGAGTCGTGTGAGTTGTTTCGTTTGGTATCTGGATTGTTTCCCAGTGCTAGTCTCTATATATATTAGACTATCTCCAATCCGAAAACGCAGGCTCTCCGTGAAGCAGCTGCTGAACGCTTCGAGCAGCTTGATGCTAGCTGCCGATCTCGATGAGCTTCAGGCGGAGCGTTTTCTGATTAATGCTCGCCAGGAGAACTTGATCAAGCAGCTCGCCGGGGGCGGTGACATCAAGAATCTGGAGCATACGCAGTGGGTTACGGGTGGAGACCACGACGCGACCAAGAAACACTTGGGGAAGCTTATCGCTGGAGACGATTTGCGGTGGGATCTGTTTCGCCCAATCTGTTCTGGGTCCATCGTGACGAGAGTGACTGCCTGGCGAAGAAGGCCATGGCGCGAATCATGAAGCAGCGCAAGATGACGGTCCAGAGTGCTGCGATGCTCATCCCGAAGATGAGACAGATGGTCGAGAAAGACGCTGGCGCTTTTGACTTCTGTGCTTGCTCCTAGTTTCTCGTCTGAAGTTTGTCGTTTTGCGTTTTGAACTTGTAGAAGAAAGTAGTGAGTTTGTCCGCAGTGTGTCGCGCTCTCTTCTCATCTTCATCAAGTTTAAGCCACTCACTCCCAGGTAGTACGCTTGTGCACCAGACGGACAAATACCCGGAGGGGCTTGCGTTTTTGCTTTCTGAGGCTGACAGCGCTGCCTTGGAGAGCCTTCGAGCCAAGGCGTTCCGCCACGGCGTGAAGATGATGGAGACCAAGGACGACAAAAAGTGAGAGGTGGAAACGGTGGCGAGAGATAGGCGGCGATGGTCGTTTGCCTTTGCGTGAGCAGCAGCAGCTGCGCGATCGTCACCCATGAAGAAACTACACGAAGACACTTAGGATTCTGGTGGTGGGACAGATCAGCAACTTTTCTTCTTCAGCTAGTAGCTCGAGGAACAGGAGGCGCCGCCTTGGTGGTGACTCATGGAGGATTTGGCTACCAGCGTGGTGGCCTACTATGAAGCTTTTTCGTCATGTCTAACTCTAACTTGTCTCTTCAAGTAAGAACTAGTAGACCTGATGGAGGCCAATCCTTATGAGCAGGCCGCGGGGTGTCGTGGTCCTGCATCTTTCGGATTTTATCGAAGTATAAAAGTACTATACTTATTTCATCCTAGTCGTTTTGTTTCTTCAGTTTATGAATGATCTAACTGAGCTCTACCGTCATATCTTATCAGCGAGTAGGATCCACACATCTAATAATTTGATTTATAGTGTCCTCGTCCTTTCTGGTTGCTGCTCCTCCACCATGTCGGCCTGGTGGGAGGAGTAGAATTGTTTAAAGCTGGGCCGACTTCAATCATCTGAGTCAAGTGATGGAATAGAGAAAGATGACCGTGGAAGAACGGCCTCCCACCCCCTACCCCCTTCAGAAAAAAGAAGGGGGAACCAATTGAATCAAGAGGAGCTTTCTGATGTTGTTAAGAAAATATGAAGAAAGGCCCAAGATTTTGATGCTGTCGCAGGTGTGGCCGCTGGCTTGTGCACTTTTTGCTGCGGTGCTGCGGTGGCGTCGGGTGCTGCCAAGTGGAGCGTCTCGGGTGTCGTGTGGTCGTGGCGATTCGGTGGGAGAGTTGAGAGCGAGGAGAGACGCTGAGAGGGGGGACAGGTGGCAGGGGTTGTGACTGGTCGGAGTTTTCTGGAGTAGTTTGGCGCGGCTGTGGGTGGGTGGGGTTGTGGTTCGCGATGGGGATTCGGTGGCTTGGCTTTTGTTGTGGGTGCCTAGTGGTGGCGTCTTTGGTTGTGGTTTGGGGTGGGTGGGTGGGTAGAGTCTGCGGCTCCCGCTGCGGTTGTCGTGTCCTTCTGGATAGCGAAAAAGTAGCCAAAAAGTAGCCAGCTTTCTCGCTTGGTGGGATCCGGATGAGAGGCCTTTCGTCGATCTTCGTGGACTGGTTACGCTTCTCAGGTAGTGCCCGCCGTCTGGTAGAACTCCCCAAGTTCTTCGTGATTACTTATTCTACAACCCTCAAAAGAGTGCAAAGCGCTGAGGCTGCAGCGTTTTCTTTTGTTCGTGCTTTGCCTTCCGTTTGCTTCTCTCACTTCTCTTCCCAACAGAATCGGACTCGGAACACGCTCAAACAGATGCCAGCATCAAGGCCCCGGGCTCTGCTCCTTGGTCGTCCTCGTGATCTCATCACGACCATCACCACCAGCCCCGTTGCAGTCACCACCGCCACCCGTATCCTGGTGGCAGCTGTGTCACCTTTCTCGCCTGCAGTCAGGTAATAAGTGCGCAGCGGCCCGAGTAGTTTCCTTGGCTTGCATGCGTGTGGTGGTGGTTTCCGTGTGTTCGTTCGATTCTAGTGGCGTAGGCGGTTGCCTGGTATCTCAGTCGGCGGGCATTGCTAGCACGGTCATACATGGGAGGCAAATCAATTGGCTGGCGCCGCTGCTTGGTGTAAAACATGGGCAGGGGGCTGGGCTGGCTTGATGTGTCTAATGAGAAACGCGGGCGGCTTGTTGAGTAGAGGCCAAGAGTAAGGGCCTGCGTGGCGTTCTCCTTCTGTTCTTACTTAAAGCAATTGGCTTGGGAGCTGTTGGCTGTCGCTGTTCAGTGCATTGCGCTGAGGTTTTCTCTTGTCTGCATTTGAAAGAAATGAGGCACCTCGGTAGACCTTATGACGCTGGTGGGCCGGTGTTTGGCGTTTGGGAGTTCTTACTGCAGGAAAGGCACGGAGAGAGGAAACCGCTCGGAGATGAAGGGGGCGGCGGGTATATTTCTCCTCGAGCCACGACTTTGAAGCAGGCACCCGCGCGCACAGTCTTCTCCACATGTTGAAAAAGCCCGCGCATCTTGGCGGAAATATGTTCCAGGGCGCGGAGCGACGGTACCCCCCCGCGCTGTGCGCCTTGGGCCCCTTTTTATTTAATTTTAAGGCGTCTGACGATCACCATGCCCCTCCCTTCTTCAGTGTGTGTGTGTTTAAGATTAGTTCTTCTAAGTGCGAGGTTAGTGAAGTTAAATGGCTTACAGTTTAATTTATATATACTCCATTAAAAATTATTTAAGGCGCCTGCCCGGGTTGGAAGGCCTCAAAAGGGGGCCAGGTCACCCCCCTCCCCCGCTCTCTTCCAGCTGCTTGGCTGTTGCTTGCAGGCCTCAAGAGGGGCCCAGGGGACCGCCTCCGCCTCCTTCCACCTCAGGCGCGTGGCTGTCCCCTAGAGGCCTCTGACGCAGGTGGAAGGCCTCAAGAGGGGCCCAAGGGGCTGCATCTGCTTCCTTTCCAGGTGCTTTGCTGTCCCCTAGAGGCCTCTGACGTAGGTGGAAGGCCTCAAGAGGGGCCCAAGGGGCCGCATCTGCTCCCTTTCCAGCTGCTTGGCTGTCCCCTGGAGGCCTCTGGCGTAGGTGCGTGGAAGGCCTCAAGAGGGGCTCAAGGGGCCGCCTCCACTTCCTTCCAGGTGCTTGGCTGTCCCAAAGGCGGCAAAAGGCCGGCGAGGGGCTGGACCCTCTGAGCCGTGCAGCTTGTACCCTCCGGGTCCTTGGTCATCGGCTTGCTTGCTTTTGCGACTGTGGCCGCCTTCGGTGGCCTTTTACCCCGGAGACCTCCCGCCGGCGAGGGTCAGCAGGGGCCAGGAGGTCCCTTAAAAAAGAACACGCTGAGAGGCCCAAGGGGAGGCCCCCCGCGCCAAGCTTGACGCCTTCCACCAGCCACTAGAATCCGCGAAAAATCAGCGCGGAAAAGAGCGCGCGCGCCACCACAGACCAGACCACAGGGGGGAGGAGGTGCTGCCCGGCTCTGAGCCATGATATACAACGGCGACAGGCTTACTGAATTAATAGCCCTGACGCCTTCTGAGTGTGCTGCTGAATGCTCTCGCTTGTGATCTCTCAGCCTTAACAGTTTCAGCCTCTCGTATAGCCGCTTTGCGGATACCCCTCCGCGCTAAGCTTGTGGGCTGGTAGTGTTCTGCGAGTCGTGGCAACTTCGAGCACCTGGGACACAGGTGAAAATGTGAAGGGTTCTCCCACGCTGATACCCATGATAAAAAAGGATCCCAATAAGAGCAATTGTGGCCCACAAATAGCGATCCCAGCCAGTCGAAGCATAGCGATCTTTTGTTTCCAAGTCTGTCGTCAGCCCTTTACGCTCTGTCTTGGCTTCGGGTCTAAGCTAATTGGTGAGGTCGTGGGCCTCTGCATACTTTCTGACGTAGTTTCTGCATATTTTTCCTTCCTAGATTGAATCGCGTTTGTATGTTTCTAAACTCCGCGCCGGCGCTCACTCGTCAGTCACGGGAATGCGTCGACTTCCTCGACGAGACATAAAATCGGCCGGAGATGCGGCCGAATTCGGCGAATACATGGGTGCACTATTCATGGACGACTTGTCGGGCCTGAGTGCGAGGGATGTGGAATCGCTGGAAAATGACTGTCATACGAAATATAATGGTGATGAAGTAGCCTCGTTCTCGTTTAAAATGGTTTTGAGGTTGGATCCATCTCACTTTAATGGAGAAGCAACCGAGATCGCCATCGATTTCTTCCTGCCTTCGTGCCACGGACGGCGGCAAAGACAGGAGGTGTTTAGAATGAGCCTTTATAGACAATTTGGAGGTGGTGGCCAAGAACTGAAGCAGGATGTTGCGTTTAGCAGTTTTCGTCCGAGCGAATATGGTTTCACCGGGGTTCACCGTCATTTCAGTCTCAGAATTTGTCGAGGAAAAAAAAACCTCTTCCAGTCCGCCCCCGGGAGTTTCATGCAAACAATCACAACACCTTCGCAGAACAACGTCAACTACGCCTCTCTCTCCGCATACAAGAACGTTCCATCTTCTGTGTACAACATCAATCCTCTAGTTGTCCTCGCCTCTGGTGGTATCATCCTTGGCGCTTTCCTGTTTTGCTCGAAGTGCGCACGTCGAACTGCATCCCAATGGCTTCGCAACGAGCGTGCACGCGAACAGTCGAACAGTGCATCCAGCAACGAGGCCACTTATGGTGCCATGGAGCGAGGTGAAGCATCTTCAGACGTGAAGGACGACAAGATCATCAAGATGTAGTAGACGCATTGTAGAAGATAGAAAACTAAAAGAAGTAGAAGAACAAGAAAGAAGTATTTCTGGAGGAGGAGGATAATACTTCTATAGGAGGAGGCCGAAGATGAAGGACGAAGAGGAACAAGTAGGAGCACTATCAAGGCGGAGGATAATTTTTAGTAGTACTTTTACTAGGAGGAGATGAAGGTAGGAGATGAAGAGCAGCAGGAGCATCATCACCATGAGCATGAAGCAATAAGTTGTCGTTTTGGAGGTGGTAAAGCGTCAACATCTATTTTCTGGAGGAGCAAACCAGGAAAATCTAACATGTTACTGTACAGGCTAGCACGACGAACGACCACGATAGGACCAGCACTATTGAACAGAACCACCAACATCATAAGAATGACATCAAGAATCAGCAAGTTGTAGTAGAACAAGTTTTTTAGCACCAGGACTATCAAGAACAAGAGCAATTCATAGTAGTGGAACAAAACGAATTATAGAACAACGAACATCATGCGAATTTTCAGCCAGTGGTAAAGCGTCAACATCTATTTTCTGGAGGAGCAAACCAGAAGAATGCCGTGTTACTGTACAGACTACACCAGTACTATTGAACAGCACCAAGACCAATTACAAAATCAACATCTGGAAGAAGAATCATATGATCATGTTAATCACGACCTCAGGACTCAGGAGCCATGATCAGCATCAACAATTTGTAGAGCAAGTATTTAGCAGCAATCATCAATATCAAGGACAAGAAGATGAACAAAACATTCATCATGCGAATTTTCAGCCAGTGGTACTAGTTGTTTGACGAGGAAGTGAGAAGTTGTAGTAGCTCGAAAGAAGAAGTTGTAGTTGGTGATTCATTGGATTCGGAAGTCAGGAACGACGAGGCGAGGCATGAACGAGGTTGGATGCACAGGACTCCCCGTCTTGGATGGTATTTTTGTTTTACGATCATCATGGACTTGGTGGAATGATTTGGAAAGTAGATTTTTGATTTGATGGATGAGTCTGCTGCATATTCTCCACCATGACGCCACGACCAGGTACATACGAAGAATGTTGACAGAGTGTCAAACTACTGACAACAAATGGACGATACTTCGGGAGGACTTTTGGTGGATTATTTCTCTGCATCCCGATAATATCGCAGTTTTGCATAGACGTATATCGGAGAGAGTGCAACTCTCTTGCAACATCAGGTGCATCCTTTGAGGACCCGGTTGGTAGAATCTAACAGAGCAGAAGGTACTTACGTCTTATTTGTTTGCACCATTTGCTTTTGCTTCGTAGTTTCAGTTACAACGGGAGTTGGTCCCGATTTATCATGTCAGTAGTTTCTGAGGATCTCTTCTCTCTCATCTTTGTTGTATTGTGACCGTTCTTGGAATCGATTTCACTCAGTCTTACTTGTAGAATCTCCATCGATCCGCCAGGTCATCTTTGCTCTAAGAAGATTGCTCCGCTTTCCGATCGTTTTCAAGGTGGACCGTGGGTGTATCATGAATGCGTTCGCACAGCTGCTGGTGTTATGTACGACAGCGAGTTCTTGGAATTGCGGGACGAAAGAAATAGATGATGATTTGTAATGCGGAGGATGAGGAAAATGGGTACAACTGATTTCTAGACTCCTTTTGCACATCCACATCCCCAATATGCACATCCTTTGAGATTTGAACAAGATCATGATCTAGAAATAGTTGAGATCGAACTTCAACAAATAAATGTTGATGACGATGCTTGATCCTTTTCTAACCTCCTTTTTCGACCAAGGTTGTACTCGACGTCTGATTCCGTATCGTCCTACTCGTGTTCAAATGATGCAAGTGCGGTCGTTGGAGTTGATCTTGATATTGGAAAAGGTAAATGCACTCGCACTGCTGGTGTACAACTGGACGATCTGACCACGAGTTGCGGGCAACCTGTAGATTTGCGATGCGGGCAGGGACGGAAGAGGAAAGCGGGTATTTTTTGGATTTCAACTGTTTCGCTGCGTCTGATGATTTGGTCTAACTGGTGATCTAGATAGTAAAGCATTTATCTTCGTAATAGAATCTTGCGATCTAAATCCTGTCTCGCTTCCAATCCGATCCTTCCCCGTTCTCAATGCCTTAAGTTCTAAAAAATTACAATCTTAAAAATCTCCCGATGATGGTACTACTATGGTAAAGGTTAGAAGATCAAAAATATAATGATGACGATCATGCCCCTGGTGCTTTAATGTTCAAAATAAAAATCTGCATGCTTCTGGTTTCTGCTCGTGTTTCTATCCAAATAAAAAATCGATGATCACGCCCCGGCAATCTTTCGAAAAATATTGGATTCCTTTGCTTTTTCTTGTTCTTGGTGCTGTTTAAAATCGTGAAAAAATGAATTGATGCATCTCGATGAATTTCCTGATTTCTATGGTGTTACTGGTATAAAGTATTGGCCTATTTTTACTTGCATGATTTTCACACTTTCCCCGCTCAAGACCCAAAACAACCCGACAGGGAAAAAGTACGAACCTGAACGACTCCGGTCACAACTTGAACGACTTCGGTCAAACCTGCACTAGCTTAGCTAAAAAGCCTGCACTAGTAATTTTTTACTGTTACAAAATATCCGGCCCGTTTCTGTTCTCCTGCCCGCTGCTACGAATACACCGGACTGACCTTGTAGTCGGTTTCTTGATGAGAGACAACACCGAGAGACCACTAAACTACAATATTACGTGGTGACCACGGTAGGACGTCCGTAGCAGCAAAAGCACAAAAAAAAAAACAACAAGGAAGATTCAAATCTTCACAACAGCACAAACAAGGTCCGTAAGCCTTCCTCAGTCTAAAAGTCATCGGGTTGCCCTCGATAGACAAGACAACAAGGAGGCAGTCCACCGCACCGACGGGGACAACAAAAAACAAAGGCTCGACAACAGTCGTGACCACAACAGCAAGCAAAGGCCACAGGCCTAACAAGAGCACCACAAAACAGCACAGGTTCGGCAACAGTCGAGTCCACCGCTCCTGTAGCGGACTTTGTCAAACAGTCCGCGCCCGCAAAACCTGTTCGCCCAGGGCGGACAAAAAATTCGGATGCATCGACCCCATCTTACTCTAACACCCTATCGGTTTTTGCACTAAAAAGTGAACCGGACTTGAACGCTGTGGGAATAAAAGCGGAAAAACGCAAAAATTTCCGATCTTTCTGCCCGACTGTGCTGCTCTTCATTGATCAAAACTTGGGGACGGTGACCGCATCTGCTCTCTTCTGAACCTTGGCTCTGAATCTTGCAACAACAACAGACCAAACCTTGCCTATCTTGTGTTCGCGCGTGGTTCACGCAGATCTACTTTCTACACTGGTGTGGCGTTCGCCTTCACCCTGCTAAAAAAAACAAAATGCCAAGCTTCGCAGATTTCGCTGCCAATCTCTCTCGCAGGCCGCCTGTGGTGCGCCGTGGACGTCAGAAGAAGGGCTTTGTGGAAGGTCTTGACCCCAAACGGGCAAGAAGCACCTGGGTCACTTGGCCAAAAGTTGAAGTCCTCCTGGGTACAAACGCTGACGGCGTTTATCTTCTAGAACGTCAGAAGAAGGCGCTTGGCGTCAGTGCTGACCTCAACACCACCAACGGAACTGTCTGCATCCGTTACTTCGAAAGAGGCCAGAAACTCGTAGTCGGTGGCCCAAAGAAGGGCGTGGACTGCCAAATCCGCGCCATCTGTAATCTTCTCGGCATCCAGTCCGAACTCGTAACTCCTGATCAGCAGTATGCCGCTGGCTTCGCTGAGAGGTACAAAAACCAGGACGCTTCATCTAGTATCAAGCGACGTCGCGAAGACACCGACGGTGAGGCCTCTCTCGTCCCCGCCGGACCCGGAGGCGGAGTTGTCAACGCTTTGCTTGCAGGGCAAGACGATGAAGAAAATGAGTGGGAAAAGTGGGACGCCGATCAGGCCGACCTCGCTGATGAATTCCTCGACTCTGATGACGCTAACGAAGGTGACGAGGAACACCGGGATGAGGCTGACCTTGCCGAGAGTGAAGCTGGTGGCGACGATCGCTTCGACGTTGCGTCATTCATTGGCAGCATCAAAGGCGGCACTACCTCAAACACAGGCGAAGCCCCCAGACCAAGGGCACTTACTAGCACCGTCCATGATCACGCGTATGTCGCTGCTGCGGCGGGTGCTCCTCGTGAGGCTGATGCGGACTTTGCTCTCACTGATGACGAGGACGGAAAAGACTCAGCTCCGCCTCTCTTTGGTCTTTCTAACGCTGTTACTGCCGGTGATGATCGAGACGATGTTTCTATCGTTCGCAGCGCTCACCTAGGTGTACATCCACTACTCACCAAGGATGACGTTTCTGCGATGGTTCATGCCATCATCAGGCTGCCGAAGGGCGTGCGTCCAATCGATATCCTTATCAGCAACTCTGTCTCCGTAGTTTGGCGGCAGGATTGCCAGAAAAAGATGTTCGAGGACAGGCGAGAAATTCTCGAAGAGGACTTCCCGGCGATACTTCGCCGCATCGCCCGTTTTTACGGCATGCGGCAACAACAAGTAAAAATCAAAAAGCGGAGTTTATACACTTCGCTGGAGGATATTGCGGACGCGATACCTACTAGCCGAAGGACAAGTCCGCAGCTGGCCACGCCTACGACATGTCAGGCCTACGTGGATTTGGTGAAGTCCCGCCCTCCCTCCTTTGCGGACGAATATTGGTTGGCTGATGTGCATAATCTTGCATGCACCGGCCGCCACATCGCTGAGCGCTCCTCTGCTAAAGGATTGACTGATGTTTTGGGTATCCTTTGGGATACCCTATCAGAAGCAGCCAAAGTACAATATGGGTACACGGGTAAACAAAAGGACATCTTTGAAAAGCAACCGCCAAACTTGGAGGGTTTCCGGCGCAAGGTCGCTCGCTCGGACGGCATGACGCGTGCCGAAAGGATGAGGGAAACGGTTGAGCGGTTCATCGATTCCATGCTTAGCGACCAACGAAACGTCAAGCGGGACCGTAATAGTGGGGAAATCGAGGACATGAAAGGTGCTATGCGAACCTATTTTGATCTCATGGCGAAACCAATTCAGCCGCATCCCAACCCCCAGATGAGCCTCTTTCGCAAATTCAACGACAAGATGAAAGAGCTGGTCGAGGCCAGGCTTGAGGTGCCGCATGCACTTGCGAAAAACCACCCATTTGCGCAGGATGAGATGGCTTGTCTACTGGATAACTACGTGCGACAATCTGAAGTCTTCGAGAAGAAAGTGGAGGAATTCTCGGCGGCCTTCCTTGACAATCATGAAGGATTTCCTAACCGTCTTCTCCTGGCAACTTTAAATCTTCTCTTTGTCGTCTTGAAGGAGATGCAAGTCAGCCGTGTTTCGGTGCATAGCCGTCCACTAGAGGCTTTCCCAGCGCGTAAGGCTGGGACTTACTTCCAACAGGGTGCTGGTCGTCTGAAGTACATCCCAACGGAGGCAACATCTGCAGCCGCGAGATTAGAAGAATTGGAAAAGATGCTGAAAAAACTTACCGATGGAAATACCAAAACCACACCGAGCACCTCCTCGGGAAGTGCTGGCTTAGGTCTTGGCGCTGGTCCCACCGTCAACGACACCCTTGGGAGCCGCAGCCGTATGACTCTGCCGGACGCTCTTCCTAGTACTAGTAAAAACGGCTTGGGAGTTACAGCAGGAAGCTCGTCGCCAGAAGTACCACTCGAACTGAGATTCCAGCACACAACATACACCAAAGAACCTTTCAACAAACACTACGAAGTGTCTTACCCACGTGACCAGTATGGTATCGCCAGAATGGTCATCAGGGACAAGTCTGGTGGCTCTGTCAAGTACTCACAGAAATCCGCTCAGCGAATCTGTGTCATGTGTGTCACAGGCTACTGACCGGGATGTACAATCAGCCGAATTCGGACGAGTGACAGTCAGCGATCGAAAATGATCCAGCTCTGAGCTAAAGTAGGAGTTTCTGAGAAGGTCCTCAAGGATATGGGACTTGTCGCTTTCAGTCGAACACGAAACCCAACTGGTACCTTCGAGGACGCATGTGCCCGTGTAGCTGCAGGCAGTTCTGCAATTCCAATCCCTCCTACAAGCGAGATTGTGAGGCATCTAAAATTTGGACTGGCTATCTCTTGCGCCAAGGACGTCGAGGTAGGTGGCACTAGTTACTCTGTCGCCACCCTACGCGATCTGCGCAACAGGGTGCGAATTCCTTGCACGGCAGATTTTTTCGAAGCAGCCTCGACGGGGAGCGGCCAGTCCGTCGGGGCGTTGACCGGAACAACGGCCTCAGAAACAGCTCCGCTGGAGTAAATATCACGACGCCAGAAGTGGTGTCATTATCAAACAAAATTGACGAAGTAAAGGGCTCTCCCTTAGTGGATCCCGAAACAGATCACGCCAATGAGTGTGACAGTAATGATAGTAAGAATGGTTATCGCTCGGGTTATCTCTCAGAGTGCACTTTGCCTCGAGTTGATAGCGTAGAGCAATTGCATCCCAGAAGCTCCACTTTTGACGAAGTTGCTTCGCTTGATTCTCTGCAATCTGAAGCTGTGCGTGACAGTGAAAACGAAGAAGAACTACCATCTGACCACCAAAACCCCAGCGACCAAGGGGCGCCTAAATCTGACATCGAAAGCGATGCAGGGACTATTTTCTCATCTCCGTCGAATCGTCCCACCCGACGGATCTGCCAGGTGTCGGAATCTTTAAACTCGCTTCAGGCGCAGTCGGTTCCTGCGTCTGTATATGCTGCGTCATGCAGTGCTACCTACGTTTACAGTGATGACCGCTCGCAGATTTCTGACGAGGAAGCTGCTGATGATGATGAGTACCTTGACGGTGAGCACTACCTGGGTGACGGGTTTGCAACTGCGACAGCAGTATCCCCGCCAGTGAAAGGATTCCAATCCACCGAAGGGTCTGCCGATAGTGTCTATGTCAACTCTGACTTCGAGAAACTTCAGGCGATGAGCCCGACAGAATATTTTGACTACTGGTTCAAAGCACTTGCCCGAGAAAAGAAGGCAGTCCAAGCAGAAGAACGCATTATCGTAACACCGCCAAGCATAGAGGTGACAGGAGGAGAGTCTGGCGAGGTTGCACTTCCTGCCTCGGGCACATTTGCATCTTGTCGCATTGAGTACGAAAGTGCTGGACAGATGCAGTCCCATGAATCACAGACAGTCAAACGGCGGAACTTCGTGTTTCCGGAACTTCTTCCCCAGACCATAATCACAACTCCGACCATAACATACTACCCGCGTACGGTAGCGATCGACCGAAGTGAATCGGCACTAAAGCGCATGCATCTTGCCGGACGCCTCGTCGCGTCTCCGCGAACAATAACGCCGGCCACCGGAACAGGAAAAGAAGTCGATCTGTATGATTCAGCCATGGAGAACCATAGAAGTTTGCTGTCTTGTGCTCTCACTCAGCCGAAGCATACCATGAAATGCGTCTGGGGTCCACCTGGAACCGGCAAGACACGCGTTAGTGCGGAACTGGCCACGCAAATATCGACGAATCGTGGGCCTGTGCTCTATGTCGCGCCAGGTAATGCAGCGTGCTCGGGGTTTTCGTACCGTGCGGAGAAGTCGGGACTTAAGGTAGTGAAGGTGCTTAGCGAGACAAGACGGGCTCAGCTGACTACTCCTGAACCTCTCGACGTCTGGACGATCATTGACATTCTACACCCTGAAGCAGCAGCTCTTTGGAAACAAATCGATAGAGCAAATGGTAAGCAAAAGCGCAAGCTTCGTGAAAAATATGACACACTAACCAAGACACTGACACAGAGAATTATCAGCCATGCTGATGTCGTCGTGGCCACCGTCGCAACTGCTGCCACACTGGAGGCAACCTTCCACACCGCGCTCATTGATGAGGCATCCCAGTTGAGCGAGCCTTATTATTGGATCGTCATCGAGCGTGCGCCCCGGTGCATCCTCATCGGCGACCATCGTCAGATGGGTCCATACCTTGACCTCGCCGGGATGGATGAAGAAAGATGCCCGAAAGTCCTCAGAAAAACTGCGGAAAAACTTGAAAACTCTGAAGGTGCGCACCTTGCAAAAGTGACGGGCAAGGAGTGGACCACGATAAGGCGCAGGCTGGTGGCCTCGTCGGTGTCTGAGATGTGAAGAGAGTGAGGGGGTGTCGGTGGTGGTTTGAGGGTCTCCAGCATGTCACAAGGCTCCTGCAGGTGGTTTCGCCCAATAGCTGGAGAGATGGACAGCAGGCCTCGGGGTTCGAGGTCCTGCGCACAGTTTGGCCATTGGAATGATGTCAGGAGAGAGAAAAGAAAGAACAAAAGGAGGAGGGAAAAAAAGGAACCAAAAAAGAGAGGGAGAGAGAAGGGCGCAAGATGTTCGGTGTCAGGTAGTAGGTGGATGGTAGGTCGGTCAGCTGAGAGAGCCCGGCACATGTCTGCGAAATGAACAGAAGCAGACCACAAAAAGGAAACAAAAAAGGACAGCAAAAACAAAACCAAAAAGGAAACCACAAAACGGCGAGGCCTGGAGTTTGTCTGGGTGGTTTTTCATCGTTTTCAGCTAGTTGATTAGATAAGGCAAGCAGTATACCCATCGGAATAAGCTGAAACACATGAAAACGATGCGGCGCGGCCCGTTGACCCTCTTCGCGGTTTTCTAGTCTTCTGGGCTCCTTTGTGGTTCTTCTAGAGGAGCGAGCCGCCCGAAGTTCGGAAAACAGCCAGCGGCCGGGCGGCCGGGCTGTCCGCCAGCAGCACCACAAGAGAAGGCGGGACAACTGCTGGCAACATGTGGTCAGCTGGTGGCATCATGGGCCCTCGCGGGTTCGTCACCTTAGTGCTGGTAGTGGTTGTGGGTCTTTTGGGCTCATTGGCTCAACCTATTGTGGCCATGGAGCTAGGTGGGAGCAGTGCCAGCACAGACACCAGCGGGAAACCATTCGCCCTCGAACCTCTGGGCAGTGATGTTCGCGCTTTCTTCGACTCGAAGGACCAGCTCCATCCTCGCAAGCTGTGGAAGCTTGGATGCATTCTAGTAGATGTAGCAAGAGACGCCGCACAAACCCGAGCAAAAAGCAACAAGATCAATGTAGTTCAATATAGAGCAGAATCCGACGGAACAACCACGCAGCAGCTGCATTTTCAGAATGATGTGGTGGGAAGGTTGCGAATCTTCGCGCGTCAGATAGTATCGTTCGCAACAGTGCAGTTCACTGTGGCAGGGGTTAACGGTGTGGGGTCATGGTTCCTACCAGCACACACGGTGCTTTACCCGAACAACGCGCAATTTGGTGAAGGAAAGAAGAACAGAAAGAGCTGCTTCCGCGGATACTCTGAGGCGTATGAGATCGCGGACCAGATCTGGGCAACACATGACCCCGAGGCTTTCTTCCATGATATTCCCGACTCTACAATAAAGATCTTCAGTCCGTCGTCGGATAGTGGAGGAAGCACCATCAGCATGCTGTTCTACCTTGGCAAGTTTCTCACCGAGTCGGCTAAACTAGCGTCGCGCGTTATCTTCTGGCCTGACAGATGCAAAAACCACCAGGCAGCCCTAGTCTGCAAGTCCACCGCCGAGATCTACCTTAGCCTCGTAGGACTCGACCCAAAAACATGGCAGAAACGGCTCTACTTACAGGTATAGTATTCTATTGGTCCTTCTAGGTCGCTCATTTTCGAGGAGGCACCGGGTAGGCCTTCCCACCTTCTAAAGCTATTCGATTCAACCGTGGAAGTGTGTCACCTTTATGGGCATCATTTCCCCAATGTGTTGAGTTTTTTTACAGTAGTAGCATAGCAGGGCCAGACATCACGACCGTCGTAGCCTAGTCCGGGAACATCTCAGACCTGCGCCATTAGGGCCAAGCTGTCACATTCTGTCTCGCCTCCAAATAATATTCTAAACCACTCAAAACACCCACCAGGCACTGTCAGTGCGGCTTCTGCAACAGAAGATACAAAGCCAGTTGGAAAGTGTCTCGCAATGGTTGACGGAATTCAGCAGCCCTGCCTTCAAACCAGAGAAGCAACCCGAGCTGGAGGCGTTCCTTAAGCGAGCAGGAGTAGACGAAAAAACCCGGGAGGCGCTCCTTGCTGGGAGAATAGAACGACAGCGGTTGGTGGTCGCATATGAAGGAACCAGAGGGATGATGCGCACGGTTCACAGCATCTACAAAGGGTGGCCGCTTCCAATATGGACCAGATGGCTCACAGTTCTGCAGGTCTGCACCCGATACATCGTCTGCATGGCTTACTTTTTGGCGCGTGTCTTCTTTGGTCTTGGGCGAAATATCAAGTTCGGGCAGGATAACCTATTGGAGCACACCTTTGGCCTCGACTGGAATGATCAGACAGACGCGCAGTTCGTTTTCTGTTTAACGATGTGGTTCATAGCGATCATCATCGCACCAGTGGAGTTGTATAATGCGACCATGTTGAGCACTGACCGCAACAAGAACAGACGGGACGCCCTGCGGCTGGAGTTCCATAAGCATTGGTGCGCGGCCATGTTGTACCTTCTCAAGGGTGACGAGGTGCTCCGAGATATGTCGTTCCTTTTCTGCACCATCGGGGGTTCCGCGTTGGTTCTGTCACCAGAGCAGATCGCGATGGTATTTTTTGCTTTTAGGGTTGTTTTATTGTTTCAATCTGATGGGTGAGGGCATGGAGCAGAAGAGAGAGCCAGAAGGGCTTGCGAATGTGTGCTCTCCTAGTAGTTCACTGCTTTCATCTCAGGCCGGTTGCGCTGTTGTGTGGATTTAGAACCCACCTGGGGGGGCTCTGGGTCTACTTGTGGACCGGGCACCCCCAAGCGATTACACCTTGCTCCTGTGTGATCTCTTCCCACCGACTCTGCCCAGGTACATTTCCACAGGCAGGTGGCGCAGATCGCTTTGTTTCACAGCATGGCGGTGCTGTGGTACCGGGATGGGCTGAGTGAGGTCCATGAGGCATGGCTATGGCGGTACACTGAGGACCCTGCAGCAGCAGAGCTCGAACTACAACAATGGGAGCCGAAATACACAGCAGGCGACCCTGGTGGTGTTGCTCTTCATTCTCTGCAACTATGGCACGCTGGGCAACCTCAGCGCCACCGGAAAAACAGGCTCAAGCGTGCGGTTACGTTTTTGCTTGGCAGGGAGCGGACCCAGAAGATGAACGAGCGCAAAATCGGAAGATTCAAAAACGAAACCCGCAGGGTAAAAGGTGGACTAAAGTCAACACCTGGCGCCGACACGGCCACCAACCGCTCGGACTTCCGGGCAGCAGAGATCCAGGTGGTGAATGAGCTGAAGCAACTAGATCGCCTTGACCTGCCATCATCAGATGGGGAGACCACATCTCGGAAACCGAAGAAGCAGTACTTCATGGCGCGGGCGATCGATTTGAAGCGCGCGGATCAGTATCATGACTCCGCTATTCCGGAGTCGAGGGACCCTTTGGAGCGTGCTCGGAAGTTGAACTCATGGAAAAGCGAGCAGGAGCGCATCAAGTACACACGGCTCGCAGACCACAAGAACAAACAAGAAGCCCAACATCTAGAGGAAGACCCATCTTCTCCCAGTAGTGAAGACGATGAGAAGAATCTTCTTCGCCCGAGGGCAATAGTGGAGGAAGAGACGCGGTTCTTTGAAACCGTTCGGGACAGCACCTCTTTGGAGTATGCTGCGCGCCGCGCTGATCATACGAAGATACTGGCACAGCGTTGCAGCAGGGTGCATCAACCAATAGCACGGCCAGACCCACCGTCCATCTCCGTACACGGAAGGCCAGTACCTGCTGCAGCCAGGATCATCACGCGGTGGTGTCGTGCCAGGCGCAAGAAGCTAAAAGCACTACGAGACGCTGACGCAGAAGCAAATCCTGGCCAACGAATAGAACAACTTATAATAGAGGAGGAGGAGGATGATGAGGAGGCCGAGATGCTAGACCAGGGCCTTGAGCCAGCAGAGGACGACGGCGTTGAGAAGGCCTTAGAGTCCACTGGAATCAACATCACGCATCTTCTTTGTCCGACATTGATCACCCGGTTTAGACGCATCGAGACAGGTCACTGGCATTGGTTTTTGATCATAGATGTTGTGCTGTCCCCTGCGTCGTTCAAAGGGCAGTGGATTCAACGGCGGGAGGCTTTGCCGAATGATGATGCTAGTTGTGGGTTTGTGATCAAGAAGAAGACGATTAACTCCGACCTGGACGGTTCGGAGTTCGATTTGAACTACATCTCACCCTTTTGGACAGTAGAAGTAAGACCTTCGGAGGAGTACACAAGGGCCGGCATTTTCTTGGGCAAGAAACTTCTTCTGCAAGCAGAGGGAACAAAGCAGCAAGAGGCGGCGAAAACCGAACATCTCAAAGAAGTGATAACAACTCTATCAGCAGCGGAGCGTGCAGAACTAGACTACAACCTTGGACAAGCTTTGAAGCCTGCTTTTGGTGGTGTGGTGAATCCTTCAGCGAAGGACAGGGTGGTGTTGATAAATCAAAGGCTAAACATCGGCCTTCCTGTCGAGAGTATCGACCCACCAGTAGAACAACCTAATAACTCATCGGCAGCAGCTTCTTCTTCTAGTTCTAGCAGCAGTGGTGATAAATGTGCAGCAGCGAAATCTGGGAAGACAGCGGAGGAGGGCATGTCTGCCCAGGAGTACAAGTCCTTCCAGAAGCAGCGGAAGAAAGCACAAGCCAAACTGCTGCCGGGGAGGATTGATGGGTTCCGCGTGGTCGAAGATACCGATCGTACAACCGCCAAGTCAACTGGTCGATCGATAGTTCGTCTCAAAGCTCGCGTCACTGATCCCCTACTGGCAAAGACATTTTGCCAACTACTGCCATCACCTTACATGGACATGCGATGTATGGCGAAAAGCAATCCAAATCGCAGCCGCCGACTCGGTAAAAGCGACACCATGTTCTACTGCGAGGCCATGCTGAATCTGTGGGCGGTGAGAACGCGATTTGTGGTGGAGCGAGGATCAACACATGTGGTGAATCCACATGTTTCACCTGGTGCCAATCAACTAGAACATCTTCGTCAGGTCTACAACTTGTACTGCGCTGACATCAAAGATTATGCACTTGAGCTGGCGAATGGCGACCCCAAAAAAATCAAGGAAGTAGAGGAAGAACTGAGCATCCCAGACTCTATGCTCGAGAAGCTTACTCCTATGCCTGTTGGACACCAGTGGCACGACTTCCCGGACTCAGAAGACTCGGATCCGGAAGAAGATGATGGCAAAATAGTGAGAAAACAGCGTGGGGATACGAACTACAACGTCCCACCTGGAAAGGCTGACGAAGGTGGTGCATTGGCCGAAGAAGTGGAACGTTTGTTGGCGTAGTTGGCGCATAAATGTGGCAACTTGACGCGTCGGATGGTGGATGTTAAGCTAGGGATCTAGATGAGAACTGTCGCACTTCTAGCTCGGTAATAATTAGAAGACAGCGGCTTTTTACTTCAGTAGCAACTTATTTACCCATTGAAATCAGTAGAATTATTTCACTTATATCACGTTTCTAGGTATCTTCGGACGAGGAGTGTAGTTGGGCTTTCAGTGGCAGGCATTTCTCAGAAGGGCCCCAGAAGAAGAGGACCCCATGGGGTCGTCTTCGGCGGGTCCGACTGGCGCGTTGGCGCAGGCTTGGTCGGTCGGGACCAAGCCTGCAGGAAAGTCTATTGAAAGACCTTCAACAAGGCTTTTGAAAGTCTTTTGAAAGTCTTTTGAAAGTCTCCACAGCCCTCCTCAGGAGGGCTTTTGAAAGTCTCATTTTTGTCTCGGTATGCGCAGACCCTTCTGCCCGAGGGTCTGCCATATAGGGAGACTTTCAAAAGCCCTCCTGCTGAGGGCTTTTGGAGACTTTCAAAAGACTTTCAAACGTGTCTTTGGGAAGCTCTTTTGGACTTTCAAAAGAACTTCAAACAAAGTTCTGAAGACCTTCCCACGCCTCTTGGATGAGGCGTGGGAAGATCTTCAAAAGACTTTCAAAGGACTACTCAGGGAAGAACATGGCGACGGATGCGAAGGCTCGCCAGGAGAGCACAGTGGCATGGGCAGCAGATGTGGCTCAGCTGGCGAGCGCTCGCGCCGAGCATGGCAAGCGGCGTCTGCGAGGTTCTTGAGGACCTTCCGAGGATCTGGCGAAGGCTCAGCGCAGAGTCTTCACAAGATCTTCAGGGCTTTGCGAGAACCTCCTTGCTGGTTGTCCAGCGGCGCGCTCCTCGTCCGAAAGTCTAAAGAGGTCATAGCGTATTTCTTATTTATAACGACCTGTTTTGATCTTGATGGCTATGGTAATTCGTTTGACAAGTACTAGAAATTAAATAATAGGGGTTGACATCACAAGAGGCAGCTGAAACTGCTCAAAGGAACTAGGTAAAATGTAACGAACTACTTGAAAGAAACACGACCGATGTGAATTATTATTTTGATTATTTCTGTAGGAATTGATTAACGCTCATCACCTTCTCACTATTGCAACGGAAAGCGGAAAACTCTGACAATATCTAGTAGCATGCCAGACAATATCACAAGAAGACAGCGCTTTCAGAGCACAAGAGCAAGCAGGTGAAGCACATCTGGTAGAGGATGAGAAGACTTGAGAAGTGTGGCAAGCTCGCTGCATTTCACAGAAACGCACGGAGATCTGACTTGTGCATCTGCTTGTTCGCCGTCTCTGGTCCACAACTCCAACGACAACCCGGAAAGCCGCCAGCCTTGAAAAAGAGAGGATGAGAGACAACTTAAAAGAGAGCAGGCCGCCCTTGAGTCGGATAGCTTTTCACTAGGATCTTCTCTGAATTTCAACAACGTGACTGGCTTTTTGTGGTGGACGTGATGACTCTTGACAACTTTCCCACGCAAGTTGCAACAGATAAGAATAAAACAGTCTGACCATCACGCTTGCGCTTTTTGGGAACAAGAGCACCTTCTTATCCAAACACCTAATAGCCGCTTAAAGTCTATCAAAACTTGTCTCGGCAAGTACTAGTAGACAGAACTCACATGAGGCCATCTGCTCCAGACGTTGTGGTTTCCTGCTAGCTTACCGCGGGATCAATTTAGATCACCAACAGCTTGCAAACAGTGGACGCCTCATCATCTGCGCCTCATGAGTTCCGGCACATGTTTATGCTAACTATGATGAAAAAATAAGTGCATGATTGAAAAAGTATCTTTCTTCTACATATTCTCTCAGTAAATGAATGGATAAAATTTAATACAACACAGAAAAAAAATTCTAATCTAAATCAAGAGTTCTATACCGTCATCTATTTGGATAATCATCAAAATTATACGCGATGCCCGGTAACGCTGCAAGTGGAGGAGCGACCACAAAGGCGCGCCGCCTACAACGTCACAATACAGACGATGTCGCAGCTGAAATTCGCGCAAAAACAGGGATTCCGGTACTTATTTTATCTCTCATTATTAACTATATTCTTCTATTTAAGTACCATCTTCAGGCTCTCTACTCTGTTATAGTTTTCTTGAATTGAGTAGATTCCAACTGTTAGCTTATTCTTGTAGCCCAAGCAGATTACAGAAACCAGCTGGACTAACAACAAGCATCAAATGAACCTTCCCTCCACTCAAATCAAAAACAAGCCGCCTCTTTTTTCACATTCTAAAAAATCTAAATTTAAACTAAACAGAACACCGCGACCATGATTTCCTGTACTAAGACGCTATGCAACGATCAGCAAAACGTCAAAGCGAGAGTCTTGGGTCGTATTGAGAGGCTTGCGGAAGTGGATGAGGCGAAGATTGAGGTTGAGCTTTTCTTGGAGCACGAAAAGTCGATTGCTAAAGCTCTCAAGAAGATTCCAGGACCTATTCGCAGCATCGTCACGGCTGTCCGTACTGACAAAGTGTCCGCCCAGGTCCTCTTACTCAAGAGAGGCACGTTCGAGGGCACGGACGACGAGACGAACAAGCGAGTCGTGGTATTGATAGTGTTTTTTAATTATAAGATGATGGTAACTCTAACGATGATCTTAGGGGTAGCCAAGACTTCAGTGATGTTGTTGAGTTTGGGTTCCTTATGCAGTATGAGCCACATTCTTGCAGTAGCACAAGTTATAGCTTCATCATCTTCAGTTCTTGCAAACCCGCCCGCATTTTTCTAAATCTAACCCAACAGAATCACCTTGTCGACCGGTACAAAGGGATCACCGATGAGCACAACTGCTCACGCGCTTTGGCAGCTTGCTCGTATCTGTTGCCGCTATTGCCGGACACGAACTGCAAGGTCATATGCGAGGTTGCTGCTGCTCATGCCTACGTTGAGGGAGCTGCGAAGAGCTACAAGTCGGCTAAGGAGGCACGCGCGAAGAACTTGACGCAGCTGGACGTTTGGAACACTGGCAAAGGGCGGGCGTTCTGCATGAACGCGACGTCAAACCTCCGCCAGCTTGTGCAGAACTGCACGCTCATCAACACGGCCATCAAGGAGCAAAAAGTTGGCAAGTTGGAGGAGAAGCTCTTGAAGCTTGTCGACGGTGAGCCGAAGCCACTCAGCCCGCAATACGTTTTCTTCTATGGCATCAAAACGGTAATTTCTCTCAGCTAGGCTCTCCAGCTTACTTATTTCTCAGCTAAATGCTTGCATTTACTTCAAGTTTTTAATTACTGCGAAACTCTTCGACTGAAAAACACAAAGTCAAACATCTTCCTCCCCTAGCTGATCCCCAGACGTTTGCAAATTTCAAAAACTTGCAACTTTCCCAGGCCTTGGCCACGGCAGCAACCGACGAACGCGTTCTGTTTGTGCAGATCGGCATCACGAACTGGCTGAACATGAACACCGAGGAGGAACCGGAGCTGCCCACACTTGGCGAGGTCAACCGTGCTCTTGATGATTCCGAGTGCGCGGAGATGATGTTGTGGAAGAGTGTCGCCGGCCATGTGTACCCGAACTGGTCTGGTGAACCGAAAATGAAAGACCTGGTATATTTTTTGATTGATTTCCGTAATGTCGTAGTGGGAATGTGGTGGCTTTTTTTGAGGATGGATGAGGAAGTGAAAACTTAGAAAAGTCCTTGAATTACTGAGAGCAAAATCAAGTGCATCTACATCCATAATAATCCTATACCTCTACCACCCAGATGAATGGCGGCATGTCCTCGAAGGTGAAGAAGTGCAGCAAGGCGTTTGGTGGCACCCAGCCCCATGCGGCTTTCAAGAGCCTCGAGGGGTTGATCACTCGCGTTCGTACTTGCGGCCAGCGTCCATACGCGAAGATGCCTGGGAATGTGACAGAGGGTTTGCCAAATAATTGCAGAAATATCGTGCTTCGGTTGGATCAAGAGCGAGTTGACAACGACGTACAGAATTTGATCAATTCTCTGAAGCAAATCGGTGAGATCTGGGATAACTACGACGAGAACAACTACCATCAGCAAATCAATCAAGTGAAAGGGCTACGTGATGGCTGTTGCTCCACGGCGGTCAAGGATAACGACGTCATGGCCCCTCTGCTGGAGACTGTGCGCCGTGTGACCAACATTTTCCTCTTGGACGACCTTGATGAAGAAGCAGAGGCCAAGGCCGTCCTCACTCACCTGGAGTTGTCCAACTCTCGCACGCTCATCGCGTTTCCAGAGGTTGCTGATGCTTTTAAAGCATTCTGCGAGTCGTATCGAGGCTTCGACTTGAGGGAGACCAAGAAGCTGATTGACTCGGCCATTTCTACCAGTATATATAAACATTTATTTTTGTGTTTGTGAGTGGTGTATTTAGTGCTATGCCTGTGCCCGTAGTTGTGGCCCTTATCTGATAGACAGCATTTCCATCCTTTTAATCCTCAGAAAGATTCAAGATTTAGACTTCTCGCAGCTCCATCCAAGGACGGCAATGCGACTTATATGACCTGCATTTTCATCGGATTTTCATGATCAAACCTCTCTCACAATCTTCCAGGTAACTACGCGGATTCGATCAAGGCCTACAACGAGGCAGACGAGAACTGGGAGTTCTTGTCCCCGGAGCCAAGATCGCGACTGTACGCCCGTATCAAGAAGAAATTCCCCAACCAGCCCGGCGGCCACAATAATGGCAACGGTGCGGCCAACAACTTGCAGATGGCGGCGGTCGAGATCAATCTCGACGACTAAGCAGAGCAAGATGCGCCTTTGCAGCGGGTGGGGATAGGCGTGTGGCATGAAGAGAAGAGTCACAGAATTTTCTAAATGAACCACCACAGTCATGACGTTGATATTTATTGGGATGAAGAAGGTAGAACTACACGGACTTTATGCCGAAATATGAAGACTGACGACGATCCCTTGCTGTACTACGCTCTTGATTCATGATCTTGGTAGTATTTTCAAATATTTCATCTTCTTGTCTGTTTTAAATCATGGTGTAAATCAATTTATTTCTGTTGGATTTGTGTTGCCTTCGTCGACTCGTTGCGTGAATAACGAGGACAAGGCTAAAATTTAAAGACCTACACATGATGAATTTGATTCTGATCTAAAAACGAACGCGCGCCATCCTATACATATTGACTAATATGAGAGAAAGATGTAGAGTCTGTTCATTTATCGCTCCGAGATTTGACGCCGTTCCTCTGGCTTAAGGTCAGAATGTGGGATTTGGTTATCGACTTATCGGAGCAAGAATCAACTTGCACAGAAGTCGGCCGTTAGTGCTTCATCATGACACTTTTGGAACGACCTAACAGAGCTACTATCGATGTGAATTGTGTCAGTCATCATAGCGCATTCTACTACAGCTGTGCAATGAACTGATGCAAAAAAATGCGAAATTATACAACTGTGCGAAAAGGATTAGCGTGGGGGCGCCAGTGGGTGTTTGAGTGTACAAAAATCGGTCATCGGTTGTCGGCGACGGCTCAGCCTGATGCTAGTCGGAAGCCGGAAGAGACGGAAAGCACGGAGCAAGAAGAAACTATTACAGAAAACAACGAGGTCGGTCTTCTAGGTAGGAGAAGCATCGGGGGGGTGCTCGCGTGGGGATGTGGGATCGGTTTGGCGTGCTTCTGTGGCACAAGCAGCAGCAATGGCCATGCGCAAGCGCAGAGTGCCGCCGGAGGTGTGAGCGTAACAAGACGCTCAACAGAGCGAGGCCAGCAGAGCAAGAAGGTCACGAGTAAAGAAGTCTGTTATTTCTCTCGGTGTTGTCTTCTGGGTCGGTTCGTAATTTCGCTCAATGTGTTGCATCGGTTATTTCTCTCAGCTGATCAGACAGAAAAGGAACACAAAAGCCAAGGCCTGCGCTTGGTGGGAACACTTTGATGATGGTGTGCATCTGGTGCTCCTGCCTGCAGATGCACTTCCATCGGTCGCGCCTTGATTTGCGCTGTGTGATCTGTCAAGATGAGCATCAAAGGCACCACCGGGGGCAGACGAGCAGACCACGCGTTGATCGGTGTGAGCTGCTGAGTCTGTCCCGGAGTGGAGGAGGAGCGCACACACCCAGGGCAGAACCTTCGCGAGGTTGTCGGGGTGTGGCTCAGAAGCTTGAGCCAAGGAACACGTTGAGGCTAGGGGCAAGGGTGGGGGTGTGGTGTGGGTTTTCGCGAGAAATTCTGGAGAAATTCTGGGGATAATCACGCCGCGAAGTCCATCCCGGGCCGGCGAGGTCAACATACCATGGCAAAGGGGTCAACTCTGTCAAGGAGATCGGGATCTCGCTTCTCACTCGACTGGTCACTCGGGCAGAGGACTCCGTCTACATCTTAGGTGAACAGTTTCGCGGGCATCCAGATTTGATGTTCCCATATAGACACTTCTATCGAGGTCGTGTAGCAGCCGCGGCAGCAGCACCGACTGAGGCTCTCTATGAGCTCAACCCAAAAGAAGGGTGGATAACCACTCCTGACAGTGGCACTGCAAGTAGCGAAGCTAGTGTCGTGGCTGCTCTTGTCCAGCGATTCACATCGCAAGGCGTCGACCCTAAACATATCCTCGTCCTCGCGCCGTTCTGCGCGCAGGTGGACCTACTAAAGAACCTCCTGGGAGAGTCTGTGAGCGTCTCTACATTTGCTGCTTGTCAGGGGATGGAGCGCCAGATCCTCATCGTGTCGCTCTGTGCCACAGGTGGGAACTCGCTGAACCCGCTTCAGAAATGCCCGAAACAATGCAACGTCGCACTGACGCGGGCACAGGTGGCCAGATTTGTTGTTGGGAACTTATCTCGTCTTTCGGGGACATGGGCCACCTATGCTGATTATCTCATCGACAAGAAAGCGGCATATCCGGCGTCATCGCCTCCGAGTTTCACTGTAACGAAACTGGCTGACCCTGCAAAACTCACCAGTTCTGGAGCACTCCTCACAGCAAACATCGCATGCGACCAGCTTGGCATGAAGCCGCTGAATTGTGCTTACATCTTACAGAAAAACCGGGCGACAATCCCTACAGCAGCTACGCTACTGACGAGCATTAGCGACAGCGATGACGAGGGAGATCGCCTCCTCTCGCAGGTGCATGCTATCCACGACGTCGATGACGACGAACGATTCGACAATCTTGAAATCTTCGACGCCGCTTGCTCTTCTGTGGGCAACCACACCGGTGGAGACTCCGGCAACGACCGGGATTCTGGTAACCCGGTGCCCTTTGATAAAGTCGGGAGCACTTGCTCCGCGCATCAACAAGTCACCAGTGACTACGACACGGACGACGATGAGCGCTTCGACGATCAAGCAACCTCTGGGGCATCTGCTGAGCCGGCGTGTATACATGTCGCCAGGAAGGCCGATAGTAACAACGTCCCAGACGAGTCCTCTGCCTTTGATGAGGAGGATGGCGGAAAATCATCAGACAACATAAACAGTGTTCAGCAGACGTGGGTCAGTGACGGCACTCCGCAGCCGGATGCCATAACACACCAAGAAGACCTTCTTGGGGGCTTTAGCTCTGACATCGACAAAGTTACACCGCCTTGCCTTTCGGCTGAACAAACGGCGCTGCCCTTAGTAGCATCCTCGACCGGTCCCTCATTCGACACGGATGTGGCAACTCTAGACACAGGCGGACCAAGAAGCCACACTCCTGAGACAGAAACCGCATACCTTCAGCAGGGCCCCGCAGTCGAGTACTCGGATGCGAAAGTGCCGCCCACCCGGCGTGGATTTCGCGACTTGATACCATCAGCCTCGGGGCGAGTAGAAGTCCCTGCAACTTCGCTTGGGTGGGATTTCAACTTGCGGATCTTGAGCCACAACATTGCGAGTCTTCGGGTCGCTCTGGAAGAATATCCGAAGTCCTTACTGCAAATGGCAGAAATGGAACCTGATCTGCTAGTACTTCTCGAAACGTTTCTAACTCCGAAAACGACAGCGAAATACTTACCAGCTCTCGAGAAATTGTTGCCAGACTATCTCCCATTGACTGCTGGCGCTGACGAGGGACAGAAAGGGAGAGGGATTGTCGTGCTATTACGGGTCAAGGGGCACTTGCCACGTGAATTTGCTCCGTCGATGATGCCGCCTGAATTGTCTGGCAGGATGTGCACACTCTGGTATGGTTCCACGTGTGTCATACCAGTATACGCCGTCCATAGGTCACCTGAAAGTAAAGACTTAGTCGACAAATTTGACGCAGCACTGGTAGAACATGTCGCGAGCGTGGCTACTCAGGCAAAAAGTGTTGTCATCGTTGGCGACGTCAATGTCTCGCTCGGACATCATGAACTCACGAAAGACAAACCAGGAACAACTGAAATCGACAAGACGCTGCTCCAGCGGCTCGGCATGGTTGATACATTTTCGCTCGAGGACAGCAGTGGCCATTACACAGCCTTCTACCAGGATCGTGGCGGGTGGTATGTCAATAACAACATAGGCCTCCGGCTCGATGGCGCACTCACCAATCGGCGAGACGTCGTTCGCTACAGTGGGATACTATACCACATCCATAAGCCGTCGGGTGACCATTGTCCGATCTGGGTCGACCTCAAGGTGGATGAGTTGGAGACTCTCCCGCCTAAGACCCCTTCTGGGGTGGACAGTCTGTCTTTTGATGATGAGAACGACGACTATGATCGATATGACGGCTCTGAACACGTTTTCGATGGAATCGATGCTGAGGCTGAAGACATCGCTGCAGCCCGACGAGACACGCTCGCGCCTGGCCTTCCACTCCTCCCGTATCCAACAGTCCGCGTACCTGTTTGCCGACTCGGGTCGGACAGTGATGGGCCTGTCTTGATAGTAGCCAACGCAGATGGTATGAGACAAAGTAGCGACATTGCACACAACTGCTTGCGAGTCGACTGCCTCGCCTACCCACAGCCACAGGCGCCAAGCTTCGCCCAGGTCATCGAGATAAGCTTTCGTGGTGACAAGAATAACCTCCGGCATCGTGTCAAGAAGTGTCTTGGACAGATCATCGAGGCGACCAAAAAGGAACGCTTCGCGTATATACTCGTCCATTGCCAGCATGGCGTCCACCGGGCACCTTGTATTGCGACCTGTGTCGTCATTGCTTTCAACAGACTTGGTCGCACACACGCGCGTGAGACAGTCGAGAAGGCTAGACCACAAGCCATGGACATTCATCTTCAGCCACTTAGAAGAGTATGCCCAGTCCCTCTATCCACCACACCGGCGCGAACTTCGCGAGGACACAGCGAGCACAACGTCAGCTCCTGCTGCAGTACTCACCGTGGGGGCACCAATCGCTCAAACAAAGAGCGAAGTTCACGCATCAGCTGACGCCGTTTTCCACAAGAACACATCACCGACAACAGCTGAACGCCTTGCGGCTATACCTGAGAAGTTTCCCTTTGGAGGAAGTGAGTTCCTCGTGACCGCTGAGAATGGCGACGTCAACATCAAATGCACCAAAGAAGTAGATCCTCACTTCGAACGGGCTGCAAGACGTTGCATCTCTAGGGCGCTTGGCATAGAAACAGAACCGGACCACGGGAGACCGGAATCGACAGAGCAGCAACTCTCAGACGCTGAGTCAGAGTTCTTAAAACGGTTGCAGGCTGTTGAGAAGGGGCAGTCTGAGGTTGTCAAAGCCATCAAAGAGTACTCCGATCCTGAGAAGCACAGTAGTAAGACCGGGAAGAAATTCACAAAACTCCACGTGGATGATCTCGCTTATGCCATCTACAGTCTGCGCGACGCTCTCCTGAAGCCGGTTCTATCTCTCGGGCAAGCTGCTGAAGTTGGGTGCTGCCTTGGTCTTCGAAAAGATCGGTGGCTACAGCGAGAAGTAGAATCTTTGGGGTCTACCATCATGCGTGGCGGTGAGATTGTTCCCTCTGAAGCTGCCATGGTCAAACTGAGTAAGTGGGTCGGCATTCCCGCGACACAGGAGCTAATGCGCTCTCTCATCGGACTCATGATTTATTACACACGCTCCTGGGGCATTCACTACCGCCGGATAATCTGCCGACTCCGTGTAGCCGCATACTGCAAAGCGTCACTCTATCGCGAGACAGTCCTAACAGACGACTGCCTCGGGGCGCTCGCTGACTTGCGTCGTTACATGAGTATCGGAAAACTTCAACCACCTGACTACCAAGCCATCTTGCGTGGTGATGTTCTTCTCATTGTCTTTATCGACGCTTGCCTTCGCGGGTGTGGGTTCGTTGTCGCCACCGTCAGCCGCCAGGTCAAGAAGGACTGGAGGGCGAAGGATATGGATTTGCCGAGTACCTTGCGCTCGCTCGCCCAGACGATCACCCTCTGCGAAGTACAATCAATGCCATTTCCTAAGGGCATGAAATGCCTGGCGTCTTGGATGGCTGAAGTTGTTGGCACCTGCTACTACAAACGGACGGGCGATCGCCAGTTCAAGTACCTCCCGCGGGGAATCCTGA